AAAGAAACAAAACTGGTTCAAATTTATTCAGACAGTATGTTAAGGATTTTTAAAAGAAACCACCCCCACACTTTTTCCATCTAGTATTATTGGGAAATTAAAGAAAATTAAGAACTGTCACCATGTCATTGTGATTTAAAATCATGATACAGTAGCCCTGTGTTTAAATGTATGTTCCTGCCATTTAGCTGTGATAAAATGGCTCAGTTGTGTACAAGGAGAGATGATTACTCTTTTGCCTTGTAGCAGACTGCAAGTACAGGTTGTTCTAATGTTAAGACTGAGAGGAAGATGTTTTGTTTTGATTTAGCAACATCACAATTCTAAAAGTATTGTAGTAATTTAGAAATGTCTCATTTAAAAGTCTCTTGCTGATGTCAAAATCGTGTCACTGTAGCTTTAGAAAGCAGGCTGAAGATTATATAACATGGCAAGGAAACGGCCTTATTGTTAAGGATGAGAAAGCTTAGATAGGATATACTTAGATGGCAGATCCTGCCCAGGAAAAGCTGTCTTAATGTGTGTGTTCCTGGAATCTTCTGTCACATTTTGCTGCTTTATTTTTTTTTTTGTCCTTTGGTTAGCAAAATTAATAAATGTAAGTAGAGCTCTTACAGAGGATGTAATGGAATGTCTGAACAGTGAGATCCTGTGTGTATTCTTCTAACACAGTGGTTTTTCCAAAATGATTTTGATCAGTTTTGAAATTGTTCCCATGGCAGGAGTGCAGGGCTTTATTCCCTTTGTATTTTGTGTGTTTATTAGCGGGCTAAATTCTTTCACCGCGTTCTGTCACAGAAGCGTTTGCGTTCACAAAGCTCCCAGTCTGTCCTGCTGCTGATACAAAGAGTCTCTGGAAGTGATGATGCCATGAATTGTAATTGTATCTGTGCTGCTGTAAACATCCTGCCTTTGTCCTGCCGTGCAGGGAGGTGTGATGTCACTGCTGTCCTGTCACTGCTGTGCCCACGGCCCTGCAATGAGCCCCTGCCTGCGCTTGTGGAGAGCAGCAAAAAAGCAGCAGTTACATAAAACATCTCCAGTGCTGAGTATGGGGAGAGCTGTGCAGCTGAGAGAGATTATGGAGACAAAATCACTGCATGGCAGCTCTCTAATGAAAGGCCCGCAGTAATGGGGCTTTTTACCCACTGACAATTAATAGTAAAATAACTGCTATTTTAGGGTTCCTCTCATGAAATGTCTTTGGGAAGCCTGTGTTCCTTACATGGCACAGCAGCTCAAACCCACCTCTTATCTCTGTAGCATACAGATACAGAAAAAAAAGCTGCCTTAATTCCCTCAACAGAATTAGCTCGTGTGAAGTTCAGTTGTTTGACCTTACAAGCCACAAGCTTAGCTGTAAGTTGCCTACTGTGGTTATTACAAACTCATGAGCCTTTTTATATCTCAAGTTCAGAATGTTTGAAGTTCATGTGTGAATTCTGTATTTCAAAATATAGTGACTCATATCCGCGTGGAAATCAGCTGTTCCAAAAATATGGATTACTTACAGATCTAAAGAAACTTAATTCCATTTATATTTTTAAATTAAATGAATATATTTATTGGTAAGTGTGAAGAATTAAGCATGGCAACAAAACAGAAGTTTAATTGAATTTGTATTTTAATATCAATCATCTGTTGTGAAAAAGTTGGAATGTGCAATTAAGTAATTATATGCCAGGAATCTAAAACTTGAAGTATTTTCTGATACAGCTGAGTAAACATGCTTGCAGTGTTAAAGAGGAGCCTTTCTGAGAAGTGCACTCTTTCATTCATGTTTCAAAAGCTAGATCAGACTAAAAATTTGAATGGTTAATAATTTTTAGGACCTAGTCATTCATGTGTGCTATGCACTAATAATCCAGGCAGTATCGAGTCCTTGTAGGTTTTCTCACCTGCAGGAGGGGAGGGCAGGGCTTGTTTTCAGGGCACGAAATGGAGAGAGTGTAAACCATGAGTAAGAGCTGTCACTCAGAGCAGGAGGCAGCAGCACGTTCAAGTAGCCACTGCAGTGTATTTAAACTCACAGTGGGATTGCTTGATCATCAGATCTGCACTGTCAGTCACGTCCCTGGCTGATGACAGACATGCTGCAAGTGTTTTGGAGGAGATACTGAGACAGACCCCCAGACTGGAACAGATACTGGTTGCAATAAGGAGTGTCCTGCTGTGGGGTTGTTCCTTAAATTCTTCAGGGGGAGAAATAAAATTGTCAGAAAAAAGGAATATAGACAGGGAAGAGTTGAGTTCCACTTTCTAAGCATCTTTGGATTCCAGATACAGTTTAGGCGAGAGGATTAGCAGGTGTTTGTCTTCTATAAATCTTTGCAATTAATAGCATAATTTTAAAAAAGGACTGGGCTAACATAATTTTAAAAATGCTTGATAAAAAAAAAAAAGCCAAAAGTAGCTCTTAGCAGAATGGTGCATGCATGCACAGCCCAAATGTGACTCTATCTGGAGAATATTTTTATTCTGTTGAGTCTGAGGATTTTAGAGAAATGGATGGCTTGGTGAATCTTGAAAGGGATGTTGCTTGCTCTTTATATTTCTGGGAATGTTGGTGTAATCTAAAGTCATGGCAGTAGTGTTTACCCCACTGCCTTTCTCTTAACTTCATGAGCTGGACAGAGAAGTTTGGGTCTCAGGAGCAACTGGGTGAAGCAAGCATTCAGGCAGTGGGGCCACAGTTAGCAGAGATTGCCTTGTGCTGTTCCCCCTGCACATCTGGATCAGTGTGCAGTGGGAAAGGCTTGAGGTGAGAAGGTGGCACCAGTGCAGAAGACTTCACAGGTAGGCTGCATGTTATTAAAAATGAATGAGATGTTATCAGTACAAAACCTGAAATAGCATTAATGAAGTTTAGCTCCTAAAAATAACAGTTTAGAAACCCAGTGGTGATGGGGAATTCAGCCTTTTTTCTCCCACAGACATAGTGGTTAATCTGTTAAGTGAAACTGAGGAGAAAATGCACTCTTCTGAAGCACTGTGTTATGTAAAGGAGGAGGGTGATTAAACCACATTGGTAAGCCTGCCTCAGCTGTAAATCTTGGTAAGCTGGACTTTCCTGATAGGTCTTTGAGATGTTAGACCTTAGTTAATCAAGAATAGATATTCAAAGGTCTCTTCTTTGTGGGGGAACAGCACAAGGGAATCTCTGCTAACTGTGGCCCCACTGCCTGAATACTTGTTTCACCCAGCTGCTCTTGAGACCCAAATTTCTCTGTCCAGCTCATGAAGTTAAAAGAAATGGTAGCAGTGTTTACCCCAGTGCCTGACTTTAGATTACACCAACATTCCCATCAAGAAATACAAAGAGCAAGTGAAGTATAGTATAGTATGCTTTGAAGTGAAGATGAAAGATGTCTTTTCATCAAGATACTGGGAATATCGTGTATTCCTTTAAGGAATTTCTAGCTGTGATTTAGAAAAAAAAATGTATGTAAACTTGAGGGGATTGAACTTGTTAAAAAATAAGTTTATGTAGAGGCTTCAGTTTACAGGTGGGATTTTAGACCTCTCTATCTAGAACTTCTCTGGAGTATGGTGTCAGTCTGTTTTGCCAAAGCTGGTGCCCTTTAGTCATATGGCTTCATTTGTGGGGTTCAGCACTTCATACAAAAGGTCAGTTAGGAAATATGCTTTAATTAAAGCCAGTTCTGACATGCTTTCTTCATGTATTTTTCTTGTTTTCAAACCTTGCCTGTTAACTGTTGAAGAATGAAGCATAATTTATTGTCTCTGGAATGAGAAAGATGGATTTTTTCCCTTTTCAACTGCAGTGAGGGAAATGAATGAAAATTCCCTCATTATTTTGTAAGACCCGGGGATATGAAGATAATATCTGGGTGATAAAACTGAGGTTCAGCAATTTGTCCTCAGCTACTAAAATTCAATTGAAAGAGTGAGAAGTGGAGAATGCCTTTAATAACTAAAACAAAACAAGTAAAATCCACACACATCAATGACATGAAGGGACACTTACTGTTGAGTTGGAAACTACATGGTATTTTCCATCCTCACAATCTTACCAAACCTGTGCGAGGAGAAAAATTCAGTTGGTTTTTAGAATGTGTGAGCAAGAGCCAAGGGCTTTCTGTTTACCTTTCTGTAGCAGGGATACAGCTTTGGAAGGGCTGCATGCTCTGGCACCCGTGAGCAGCTGTGGGTCACATCTCTTCCATGGGTTCCATGTGCCCAAACCACGGCTTGTTGTGGAAAATGGAGCACACTTGTAATGCTGTGAGCTCATTTGTGTCACCTGGCTGTGTCCTGGCACCCCCTGCCAGCTGTGGGACTCTGGGTGGAATGGAGTTACTCTGTGAGCTCTCCTGGATTCAGGGTATTGCACGAGACATCTTCAACAGTGGAATGTCCTCAGTGAGCCTTGGTGGTACAAAGATAAAATGGCACATTTTACCTGTCATTAAACTGTGATCTACCAGTTAAACTGTCCTCCAGGGTAGGACATTTAAGGTGCATTGCTTTTGGCTGAGGGTCGGTGCCTGAAGAGTTGCAATAGTCCTGTTTAAAGAGGAAATCTAAAGACACCAACTTTTATCACTTTCACAACTTTTCTTTGCAGGCAGCTGCATTTTTATGAAAAGTCAGCATCAGTTTTATTCTTTGACATGTACTACTTGTGATTCCATTTTTTGCTAATTATCACCCATACCACATTCTTAAACTTCTCCCTCCTGCCCTACCTGCCCCAAGGTTTTAAACATTTCAACACTGTTTCTTATGTATATCCATCATCTGAGAGACAAAAATAGGTTGAAATACTAGAAGAACCAGTTGACTAGATTTCTTTCAATTTCTTTTGCATTAGCTAAAGATGTGGTGTTAAAAGCTTCTGTGTTACCTGACATAGAGTAAGATTAAAGGCAATATTAACACTGTGTTATGAAATTTTGGGGGTAAATGATTTTTAAAGCTTTGGGATTTTTTGCTTATTTGTTGGGTCTTGTGTTTTGTTTTTTGGTTTTTTTAAACAGGAATCTTACCCCTCTTCATCACCAATATGGTTTGTAGAATCAGATGACCCAAACCTGACTTCAGTCTTAGAGCGTTTAGAAGATATTAAGAAGAGCAATACTCTGGTGAGTGAAGTATTTTGGTTATTTTGGACATTTACTTGGGATTGTGGGCTTACCTGGCTTTGTCACATTAACAAGCAGATCAGCTAGTTCACTTTTAGGGTTATTTGGGGGATTTTATAAACACAACTTTCTTTTCCAAAAAGCTTAGGGGCCAAAATTAATCCAAAAGATTTGAGGCAAGAAGGAAAAGATAACTTCTTTTAGAGAGTAAGCTTTTAAGTAAGGTTTCAGCCCCAGTAATTAGTGTGATGCTTTCTGAAAATAATTAAACAGTGCAGTGGATGAAAATGTTAAAACTGCTGAATAAGACAGCTGTTGTAGAGTTTTCTTTGCACAGAAATCAATTGCAGAGGCAAAACTTTGTGCTCTTGAGAATGTATATCCTCCAAACCATGACTCTAATACCAAGAATTCTTGGTTTCTTTAATCCTTTCCTTCTTTCAAAGGAAACTTGACCTGAGAGCTTCTGGTTCATCAGAAAGTTTCTTAGGTGCTGATACATTTAAGCAGTGTTGTGACTTTGGACAATTGCTACTTAAAGGAAATCTTTGTGTACAGATTATGATGGCTGTTTTGTGTTTCAGAAAACTCAAGCATTGTATCTTACTTAAATAAGTGAGATCACTTTCATGTAGTGATGGGAGCTCAGAGGAAAGGCACATGAATATAAAAATTAATTTCCTAGTCTCTCTAGGAAATTGCCCTTAAATAGAACTTGGAAATAAATTTCAGTACAAATGCAGTTGGTGCCTCAAAAAAGGGTATTGCAGCATACTGACAAACTCAGGTGATCTTTGTTAATAGATTGTATTAACATTTTGTGTTTATTTTGGTGGACATGAATGCAATACATACTGAAGAATCAGAATACCGCTTATTGCATGGATTATGTGCTTTGTATTTATCTGGTTTGGGAAAAATTTGGAATGTTCTTTCTGCAGAAAACCCACTACTTGTTATGTTTCTGGGATAATGTTCACCTAGGATACCCAGCCTTATGTAAAAATGTACAAGTGTCCTTTTCTGAAGATAGTTTGCATCTGAATATAGGTTGTGTTTGACTTCTAGCAAAAATAATTAGGAAACTAATAAAAGTGAGTCTTTGTGGGCCTTGCCATAATTAAAAATAATTGTAAAGGGACGTTAGGGCTTTCATGAATTTTGTTGGATCTGATTGCACAACATGTACATCTCTGTATTTTCTACTTCAACCTATGATTTGACTGAACTACATTCAGAAGAATATTATAAATCTTAGTCTTTAAGCTTTGCCTGGAAAGGAGCAGTAGCAGAAAATCTGGCTAAATGAGCTTTTTGCTTAAAGACACTTTCAGAAGATTGTGCAGCTTGAAGCTGGTGTGGCTGATGTTCAGCCTAAAGGTTCTGAACAAGGTATTTATTTCCTGTGTGCAGCTGCCTGCAAGAGGCTGCAAAGCTTTGTTGTAAACATGCATGGGACTCGCTGTGCTGAATTGCATATGCACACAGACTGCTTATGTAGCTGGTAGGAAAACAGCTTTGCTATCAAGATTGTACTTGCCCATGTAAAAAATCTGCTGGGTTGCTGTAATAGACACCTGTGATGGCCCATTGGTTTCTCAGGAATCCACCCTGCTTTGTGCTGTGCCAAGGTGAAGGCAGATGGGAGTGGTTGAGGAGACAAGTACTTGCACTACAGAATCTGATTTCTTTTTTTGCTCCAAAGACATGGCTTGTGACTTTTTAATTTGTTTTTTTTTTTCTCCTTCAACTCTTCCCCATAGAACTCCGTCCCTTTCAGTGGCATGGAGCACTCACACAGACTTTGCAGCAAACTAAGAAGGGATAGAGGACTACAAATCCAAAGGCTTCTTATTTATCACAGTCTCATAAAAATTCACTTAGTTTAATTTAGAATAATCTAGAATGTTTCAAACTAGTTTCATTTAATTTACTGCAGATAAAGGATCATTAGTGCCATGTTGCTCTAAATTCAGAGTTACTGGAGCAGTCAGATTTTGAATGGAAGGAGGCATAGGACTCTTCCAGGAGCTCAGCTGTGCTAAAGGCAGTGCTAGCACATGTACCCTGGTTTAGCCTTTGGTATTCTACTGCCCTTTCTACCTGTTTTGTAACATGGGACAGGTGTCAGCTGTTGGGAAACCGAAGAATATGCTCTTCAGGCATAAATGTTTGACATGTGGAAGCCTTGTTATTTGACATGGTAACACAAAAACTGATTTATGATCTTGAAAGTGTTTCCTGGAAAATCTTCTGTGGGTCTGGAACTGTGGTAGTTATCTTGCCACCAGCATGTTGCTTTTACTATGAAAATTTGTCAAAACACTAAAAATGTTGAAAGGTTATTAAAAATATGATCATCTTGGATATCATCAGGTTTGGACAGCTTAGCTGCTTGGTTGTCAATGTTGGGCAAGTTTCAGTCAGCAGATAAAGAGGCTACAGAGTTCTTTCAGCCCCTAGTGTCTCCTGAATTTCCTTCTGAAAATCAGCCATGCTTTAGATTTCTGAAGTATGAAACTGCCATCTGCCTTCTAGTGGCTGTGCTATGCAAAAGAGAAATCTTACTGTGGTTTCCCTTGTTCTGTTTAATATGATGGAAGTTACATGATGCGAGTCTGAAGCCTCAAACCTTATTTCATGAGATGTTAACTATAACTCTACACTATTTGGAGGTTTGCTTTTTAAAGAGAATAGGGAAATGGGCTGAAATTCAGAGGTAGCTTTAATTCTCACACTCCAGACCTTAAATTTGCATGAAAGATGTCAAAAGTAAGTACACAATTCCTGGCATAAGTATGTTTACAGCTTGGGTAAGCTGCTGTCTTGAAATACACTGCTTCTGTGCTAATATTTTAGATTAATCCCACATGGAGGCATTTCAGGGAAGAATGTTGTCTCTTGCAAACTCCCAGTGTGGCAGCAGCTATTTCTGCATTGGGAGTTGAAGAGACAAAATGCAGGAATCAGCTTTGCTTTAGTCTGAAGCTGCCCAAGGCTGCTGAGTGTGGGGGAGGCCAGGCCAGGTACTGTCACTGGTACCTGATAACCAAGCAGTGCCACACTCCAAGTGACAATTACTGCTTCCCCCTGCTTCCATTTGTATCCTTGTTCAGCACTTTCTCGGTGGTAGGCTAAGATTTATTGATGCATTTATTTTTATATAGATATTGTGGGTGTAGGTAGAGACACACAGAATAATTAAGTCTTTTTATGCTTAAACTGTACTTCTTAAATTCATTTTTCTTCATAATCAGGAAACAGGGTGCTTCATAGTAAGCCCAGCAGGATATTAATACCATCAAAGGTATCCTAAAATTGTTAATGCTTTCCTACTACATTAGGAAGAAATCTTCATACATAAAAAAGCCTCCTAGTGTAGGCTAGGAATTTTTCAGAAAAAATTGTTTTAAACTGTTTTTGGATGTGCAGGACATTAAGATAGGAAACACAATTCCGAGAGGTGTTTGTGTCCTGAACCAGCATTATGATGTCCAAAAGAACCACCAACTTCTCCGAACTCCTGAAGCATTAAAAATTATGGAGGCTGTGTATTCTACTGGTGTAATTTTTGTTATTTTGATATTAATTATAATCATTTTAACAAATTTAGAAATGTGTTGTGTTTGGTCACTTGTGCAACCTATTGACTGTTGCCCTGTGGGTTAGTAGTTCTGGTTGCTGTTTACTTTGTGCTCTAGGCAGTTTGTGTTCCAGGGGACCCACTGGTGTGCTGAGAGCTCACTTCAGTAGCCTCCAAGTGTGTGTGTGTGTAAAGCATTCATTTTACATTAGTCAAGCCTGTGAAGTTACCCTGGAAATGCATTTAAATTATTAATACATGACAGAAATCTGCTCTCCCTTTTGATAGTCTGTTCATGTACATACCAACACATACCAAATCTTGCTTAGAGCACGGGGCTGGATCAGATGTCTTCCAGACATGACTTTCAGCTCAAATTACCCTGTGATTTTTCATACAGATGAGCAGAGGATAAGGGATAACAGTGATGGTGATCCATGGCAGAAAGATCAATGGTATTAAATTAATTCCTGTGGAGGAAAAATGTAGCAATAAGGAAGAAGGGTGGAAAGGTTGTACAGACAGGATCAGCTTCTTGCTCTGCCACCACCTTTGCAAATTGTAGACACTGATTGCAAATAAAGCAGCTGGTCTGTAGAAATGAGCTGCAGTATGAGTTGCATTAAGCTAACCCTGCAGTGTAGAATCCTTCCAAGGAAGGAGATCCCTGCTCTCAGCAGGTCTCTGCCTTCCCCTTCATGATGAAATGGTACTTGTGTGCTGAAGCACACCAGAATTGATCTGCCACAAGGCTGATGAGCTGTCACAGGGTGTTGTGATCTGTGGTGCAGTGGAAATGAGGAGGTGAAGAGCTGCTGGAGGGCCTTGTCAGGCACAGCTGTAACTCAGCCCAGACTGTGCCAGAACTTTGCTGTTTTGGGGGTGCTCCTGTTCCTTGCTTGTGGTGCTGTGCTCAGAAGCAAGGGAAGCTTACAGTGTCCTGGCTGCAAAATTTCCTTCTGAATTCCAGTTCAGCTGACAGGACTATCTGGGGGGAGGAGGGGGAGTGAAGAAAGCAGGGCAGGAAGCAATTCTTAACACTCCAGTCCTTACTGTTTCTCTGTCAAGGCACATCTAATACTATATTCATCTTCTTTTCCAAGGCCAGTGCTAATTGACCAGCCCAATGGTGGCAGTCTTCCCTCACTGCTTAGATTTATTTTTGTATGATTCACAGAAGATTTAAACAAATTATTGGCTCTGTGAGAAAAATTACAGCTCCTGGAACTGTATGGTTCATGTTCCAGCTCTCCACGAGGCAATGTTTGTGCAGAGAAAAAGTTTCTCAACAAAATGCATAGCAGTGCAATTCTAAGTATCTTGCACATACTGAAAATAATAGTTCTAGGACCTGTGGTTCTATCTGGCAACTAACTTTTTGATTGATTAACCTGATTCCTGTCTGCTGAAAGGTTTCATGATGTTCTGGATACCTGGGAAGCTTCAAACAAGTGTAGAGTCTTGATGCTGATGAGAAACATGATTGTTACAGAAGGGTTTTTGCCAAAACCTATCATGTCTCATGTATATACTCCTAAGAAATGTGGTGCTGGTGCTCCAGTCCTTTAGGTTATATCTGCTTTATTTTTGAGTTAGGTTGATTATCTGCTTTATTTTGGGGTTGGGTTGGCTATCATGAATGATGCAGGAACAGCAGACTTGGTGTGATAGTTCTAATGCAGGCTGGTACCTCAGTTCATGGCCTCAGATGGATAAATAACATTCCTGTGAAGCACAATGTGAAATTCTGCTGTAGAAGGGAAAAGCACTGAAGCTTTCAGATAACATAAGGGCAACATTTTCCTGTCACTGCTAGTGGTTAGGGCTTGGAAACCCTGGACAGACTGAATTTTTCACTTTCATTGGGGTAAGGTGAGAGCATTTAAACTGGCCAATGGCAAGGCTTTAGACAAGTACTTTGGAGTGTGTGTGCAGAAATGACTGTCTTGCACGCTGCCCTCGACAAGTGGCAGGACAAATTCTCCTTGGTTTTGGGAAGAAAAGTCCATAAATGGCTGTATGATTTCTGCAAGCTTCATCTAGGTTAGTATTTTGCAAATGATGAGATGTTGACCCTTTTACAAATAGATTTTGCAGTCCTTTTTTGTTTACCTGACATAGCTGTGCAAAGACCTTGGAAAGCTGGGAAATGCAGCAGTATTTCATGTCTTGGCCTTAGCTAGGAATCTGAGGCTGTCCAGTGAAAGTGAAGAGTTGTAGAAATCACCTTCATTAGTGTGATGACCAAAGAGCAAACTTAATGTTTGTTTTTGCAGAAGTAAATTATTTTCTGCCTTACATTAGTGAGTGTGAGGTGGTGCATAGTTTGCAGTTAATAGAGCACAATCAGTGGAACAGGTTGGAAGCACAAATCAGAGATAGTAACAGATTGTGCCTCACCCTGACACAAGATACTGCAAGCAGAGTGCCTGGGCTCCAGCTCAGAGCCCTCCTGGCTCCTGGGACTTGGACAGGGTTGGTCCTGCTTCTGCTGCCTCCCTGGTGTGCCCTGTGAAGGAATTCAGGGTATGGAAAACCAGACTGTTCCCCCTTGGTTATTTAAGCTGGGAAATGGGAGTGGGCCATTTTGTCTCATGGAATGTGACCATTTGCTTATTCCATAGTGATGTGTGGCTCAGACACCTATGCTTGGAATAGATGATGCTGTCAGGCCAAAAATGGTTTTTCTGCTCATGGCTTTCTCCTTATACATAGGAAGATGAATGGGAGTCATTGCTAACTTGCCATGTCCTTGAGTTTCTGTTGTGGGGACTTTACTACAAAGATTGCAGAGGAAATTTTATTCCAGCCTTAGCAGATTTAAAGGCTGTACGCTGACTTTAAGTTCAATATCAATGTGTGAAGAAAATTCTAAATATACTTCTCTGTGATTTGGTTTAAATGAATTTATCCATGTGTTTTTGTTGTTTTTAGCTTCTTCAGCAGCTGAAGCGATTAATATGTGACCTCTGCAGATTATATAATCTTCCTCAGCATCCAGATGTTGAAATGTTAGATCAGCCATTGCCAGCTGGACAGGTAAATCAAAAAGCTGTGAACACCTTCTTATGCCAATAAAGGAGTTGGTTTTTTAACTCCAAGAAACAACATAATGGGAAAGATTGAACCTTGTGTAAACCAGAACTGAGTTATGAAGCACTTTCAGATTATGGTGTCTTCAATCTGAATTTTATTTGCAAAATCCATTTAATAATGGTGTGATAATATTACACAATTCCCTTTGAAGTGCCTGTATCACTGCAAGGTGTGTATGTATATACCAGTGCTGTCAAGTTTAATTCCCTCCTTAACACTGTTCAAGCCAATCTCTGTGCACTTGGAGTGCTTCCCAAAGTTACTTTTTCTGAAATATTTGGCTCTTTGTTGAAGAGTATGTGTTTCACAGTGTGCACTTGGATGAACTACTGTTGATGTTTTCCTTCTTCAATCCCTTGCAGAGACATGGGATATCCAGGCCATATGTTACTTTGGGAAGGGAGGTGCCTTGCTTATTTCTTGTGCACTTGAAAAATTAAGAATTCTGAAGGCCTGAGGTGTTCTTCTTAACCAAAATGTTTTGTATTGTGTTGAAAACAGAACTGGTAACTGACAGTAGCTGTTCTTTTCTGTTTTTGAATAAGATTATGGGATCTTCTTTTCTTTGTACACATTAAGATGACATGATTGCTAAAATACTCCTTTAGAGTGACTGATGCTTTCCTGAGGTGACAGTGCTGTAGTAATGACAAATAACTTGCTTAATTTTTGGTCACATGCCAGATTGTAATCCTATAGGTCCTTTCTCTGAGCCACCCCCTCAGCAGTGCAGCTGTAAGGCAATGGGCTGTGCTGTTAGGGTGTAGCTGTGTGAAGGGTCTCACATGTGCTGTGAAACTCAAAGCAAACTCATGGAAAGTGAGTCTGAGTCTGACCAAAGACTCAGCTGGTCCCATAGATTGTCTAGAGCAGTGTCATTACTTCTTTACCAAAGGAAGAGTGAGCAGAGGACGAGCATATCAGAATACTCCTGAGTATTTCTGCAGCTCAGAGTTCCTGAGCTTGGAGTGGTATCCTGAAAGAGAGTCATAAAAATTAACTCAGTGTATTGTTTTGATATTTCCTCAAACAGGCTAATAGCAATGGCTACATGATGATACTAGTGGCTGCATGGAAGTTCCAGGTAGTGAGAAAAAGAATCCATTAAGTTCTAGAGGTCTAAAGTTCATTGAGTTTTTTCTTTCTAGGAGTGTAGCATGTAGATGGATTCTAGTCAGAGCCATGATCTGATTTCATGCTTAAGGGATGGTGGGTTGTAACCCACTTGATGTGTTTGTTGCATTTGACAGTGTCTCAGAATAGGATGTTCCTTATCTGAATTTAAAGCTTCTACTTACAACCTTATTGGAATTAATTGAGACATTCTATTTATTTTTGCTTCATGAAAAAGTCTCTTCACTGTCATATTCCAGGAAAGCATCTTTATGCATCTTACCCTTATCTGCAAAGGACTGAAGTTTGGCATGTAACTTTTGCATTTACTGCTTCTCTTTGAGAGTAGACTTGCTGATTTTGAAAGCAAGGAGAGTATGCAAAACTTATGCAGAACTTTCATTGTTGTACTGCAGAATGGAACAACAGAAGAAGTTACATCAGAGGAGGAGGAAGAAGATGACATGGGTGAAGTATGTCTATAAATGAGATTGTTGTCCTAATCTAGTAGAATTTTGTCATTTTGCTCTGCAATGTCTGGCTAATAATTAAACCAAACTGTAACATGTTACCTCCCTGGAGTTCAACAGAAAAGATAATTAAAATTTGGATGTTTACCTGAATGTCAGCTTTCCCTTCAACCAGAAACCTAGTGAAATTTTCTTCTTAAACCTAGATCTCAGCTGTGAGGTACTTGGATACAGAGAATTGGACATCTGTTTGTGCTTTAGTCAAACAATACATAACATTGTGTGCCAAATCAGTAAGTTTTTGGTTTTTGCATTGTTAACTCCTATTTCAAGCAGCATGTGAACTGGCTCTGATATAGTTGGAAGTGCCTCCCAAACTGAAGCAGACTTGCTAAGAGTAAATCAGTTTGCTGACTCATTAAATGGGTGAGCTTGTTTTTGACTGTAATAAATTGAAGGGACTGGAAGGACATTGAAGCAGACACCTTAAACTTTAATGTCCATGTCTGGCAACATGGGGCTCTCTTTAATGAGCTTTTTAGTTGTAAGAATCACCCTTTTTGCCTGCATCTGCTACATGTTAGAATAGCTCCAAGATTCTTGCTTTCTTCACTACTATAGACTGCCTTATTATAGTAGAACTGTTCTAACTACTTCAGATTTAGATTTTTAATTGAGGTTTAGTAAGAATGAACTACTCTCTCTGAATAAATGATCTTCCTATAGAAAATATCAATGCTACCAAGTTCTTAAATTAATTTGTAGCAGCCTTTCTTATGCCATATTAAGCCTGATCCAGACTACATCTGCTGGAGCTGGTGTTTCTGTAAAGGTGCTGTTTCCCATGTCCTGCTGGCACAAGGCTCTGATTGCTTGCAGACTGCTAGAGTAGCCTTTTGCATTCTGTTTGGGTTACTTTGTAAAAAAGAGAAGTGATCTGCCATCATTTATTAGCTGTCAGGGGTCATTGTGTGTGGCAGTGATATCTGTAACCTGTAATCTAGTCCCAGTTCTACATGGAGAAGCAGTTTTCAGTTCCTCAGCTCTGTCATTAGAGAAACATGAGCATTTTGAAGAATACTTGGTCTGAAGTCTGTTACAGCTGAAGGAGACAGTGTTGTCAGATGCACCAGGTGTATTTCTTGTTACATAGGACATCCTTGAGTGTGGGTTTTCCTGCCATGCAAACTGATGGTGCATGGAGAGCAGCCCCAGGTGTGCCAGTGCTCTGCACACTGGAGTGTATCTGATGGTTGTGTAACCAAAATCTGCTGGTGTGGCTGCTGCAGTGCTTCCTTTTTCGTGTCAAGGTGTTTACATGCTTCCCCTCCTCTCCACAGGCAGCATTTGAATCACCTTCAGACAGTTGTCTGAAGCTCAGGGTGCTTCTCTGCCACAAAGATAAGCCCATCTCAGGATACAGAGTGGAGGGGTTTTAGTGCCTTGGTCTGGAACATAGAACTGAAGTGTTGGCTTGGGTAATCAGAATGCTTCACCACAGAATTTTGTCTTATGTTCCAATTCCAAAATTACTGCATCTAATCTCTAGCTGAAATGTTAGCCTTGAATAAAGTACACATAGTTTTCTAATATTTAACTTTCTTGAAGGGTTGCTGTAGCCCTGCCAGATAGGTTAATCACAGCTTGTGAGAAGTGCAATATAGTAGGATTCTAATTTCAAAAGGGCCTTTTAGAAACATCTTGGAGCTACCCTATCTTGGGGTACTTTTGGATTCTCTAGTCCAGTTTGCTGCCTACTTCAGTGAGCTAATTCTCTACAATCTTTATCTTCTTGCACAGGTAGTACTTGTTTCTGTGACCAGAAACATGTTGTGAATTTGGGTTTCATTTGTATTATGAAGGTTCCCTTTATTTCCAATGGTTATGTTGGCTGAGGGTAAAGTTAGAACAAACTAAAAATGGCATCCAACAATCACAAATGCATAGTGCTGTGCAGTATGTGACTGTATCCCACGTGCTTTTGGAGAGGGTTTCATTGAATGAAGAGCACAGCACAGTTATTTACAATTAACTTCTCTCTCTCTCTCTCATAGGACATTGAAGATCTGGATCACTATGATATGAAGGAGGAGGAACCAGTTGATGGGAAGAAATCTGAGGATGAAGGCATTGAAAAAGAGAACCTTGCAATCTTAGAAAAAATCAGAAAAAATCAAAGGCAAGATCACTTAAATGTGAGTTAAAGATTCCATGCTTTGTCTTTGCAATACTTCTGACTTTAAAACAGAGATGATTTTCTGGAAAGAAAGCCTACTCCTATACACCTAGACATAAATTAACCTGTAGCTGACTCTTTACCTGCTCATCTGCAGAGGTATCCATGGGTTATCCCTTTATTTCTTGCTTGGTGCCTTTGTTACAAGCATTAGTTCTCCTTGCAGAATCAGCAGAATGCCTCCAGGCTTTGAGCTTGACTTTTGCTGCTGAACCCTTATTTAAGTAAAAAAACTAAAGCCATAATTAAAAGTGTGTTAAAAGTCATGGGTGACTTAAAATACTCAGCAAACCTGTGCTTTAAATCCATTTTATGCATGAGTTTATTTTTCAGTAGTAGCTGTGCCACCTGGAAGTTACTGAAGGGTGGTGGATTGTTGTGCAGTATTTTATTGCATGCATAAAGTAAAGGACCTTCAGCAGCTCTGCAGCTTTGTTGTCAGTTTTCTGTGTGATCTTACCAGCAGGCTGTTGTAGAAAAAGTCCTTATTCTCCAGAGGCTTAGAAACATTCTGTCCCAAGTGCCAGGCTCCAGAGAGGCTTCTGCTTCTCAGAGGTGCATGTAGGAGGGTGTGATGATGTCATACAGCCTTAATTCTATTTACCCTGACTCCCAAAGAAATCAAAGCTTTTGTTTCATAGAAGCTTAAAATGTATAAACCATGAAATTTAATATTTCTGCTTATGATCTACTTCATCCACGAGATTTTAAAGTTTTAACACCTAAACCTGATTGGCATTTCAAGGTTTAAAAGCAGGTAAACATGAGGTCCCAAACTGCTTTGGCTGTATAGTCAAGTCCTGTTTTGAGACTTGAGTAACCATAAGCACAACAGTCACTTACTGGTTTTGTTTAAACTTGAATGTTCACAGTTTGAGACAATGCCTAGTGAGGTTTTGTGTGTTTCTGTGTGTATAACTCAAACTGCTAATACTAAGGAGTCTTTAATTGTTAAAGAAAATTTAACCTCTTGCAGCCTGAAAGGCATGGCCTGCTTTACAATCATGTAAAATGTGGTAGAACAGAAAAAAAGGTTTTTGTGGTGTCAGCATTCTTCCTTGGTGCAGAAAGCCTCTTAAAACTGCAGATTTTCTTTTGCTATCTATTCTTTTCCTATTTGGCCAATACTGCCTTTCCTTTTGCTTTTTCCCTCCACATTTAGTGGAGTTGAAATGAACACTGCTGGTTTTCTGTTTGACAACAGCAGATTCAACTTACATAATAGCTGTTTCTCATGCCAGGACACTCTCGTTGATGCTGGTGCATAAACAAGGTCAGCTGAGAGCAGGGAACAGGGTATTCAACTGCTGCTGAGGAACTGTGGTATTTTTGTGGGTCACCAGAAATAGCTGTGCTGCTGAAATAATTTCTCCAAGGACTTGTGGAAGTTTACTCCTAGGTGCTGGAGAACCAAAAGCTGGAGCTGTGCTACTGACCTAGGAAAGAGCTATCCCAGTAGCACTGTATTGGTCCTCCATGCTGCCAAACCAGGGGGCTTCTGATAGAATGTGTTAACCATGCTATAAGAGCAGTTGTTTGCTGAGTATCCTAACACAAAGCAAAATCTAAATCTGTACAGCCCTCACGACTGGTTTTCTTAGAGGACACAGAGTTTCACAAACCTAAATGCAGTGGCTAAACTAGTCTGGTTTTTTAGCTCCTTGGCATACTTTGTTTCCTCAGCAGAGGCCAATAAAACAGACCCATGCCATTTACATGCTGCTTGTTGGAAATGGGAATGTACAGCATAAAACAGGGCTTTGACTGGTGCCCAGTGCAGCCAGAAGACTTCATTTCCTTTCCATGTTCTTTGGCCCAGGTCCACGGGCTGTCCTCTCTCCCCTTGGCTGCAGTACAGGCTGGAGTTACAGATCGTGCTCAAAGCTCCTTCATGGAAAAGCAGTGCATGCACTGCCACTGTCATTTATTCCTGATAGGTTAAAGACATTTTTCTGCTTCTGAAGATGCTGTCATAGGAGTTTTTAGGGTTTATGTGTGTTGTACAAGTTAAGAATGTGTATTTACTATTTTTGTAAATGAGTTCTGTCTTTGGCAGTATCCTTAATCCCATTCTTCTTGCTGGCATCAGAAAATAAATTCGGCTTTTGGTACAGTATGTAACTTGGAGCAAGAATTAATCCTCCTCTTAACATTGTAATAAGTTTAAAGAACCACTTGCTTACCACTTGTATTTAAAATAGGTCTTTGAACTGGAATCATTAACTTCAAATATTTAACAACTTGCTGCTGCTTGCTTTTCAGAGGTCTCTCCCCACATAGTCATTTCAGAGACTAATGCCTTTCTTATTTAGATAATGCTATTAGCTTTTCTTGTTTCATGCTGAGGAGTTTAAGCACTTCCCTTCAAAAGTCTCCAATGTCTGTACTTTCATCTTCAGATTTTATGAAATCTAAGGTGTCATTTCTATTTTTAGTCTAATCCTTGAAGGAAGTATAAAACTACTTGAACTTCTAGGAATGATTGTGCTTCTGCTCAAAAATGGAGAAAGTTCAGTAACAAATGGAACTTATGTTCTTTAGCTCTTTTTGGGTTACTTTAGATTTCAGTTTATTATCTTGGTGGAGTTTACATGTTCTGTTTCAGCAAGTGATTTTTGGTCTTGTGGCTAAATCTCCTGAAATTTATTGAACGAAGAGGTTTCCTGTAGCATTCTGTTGTATTCACAGTATTTTCCTGATCAGACAGAAAACAATCAGATCTTTGGATAAAAAACTGCAGTGAGCTGCACCTCCTATCCCCTGTAACTTGGGGGGAGAGCAGGCTGTGGGTGCATTTTGAGGGTTGGAAGAGGAAAAGAAAACCCTGATGTCTCTGTGGCCTTAGTACAGCAGGGCAATGCCAAGTGGTGGTCCCACTGCCCCACGAGGTTCCTGTGTCCAACAGTGGCTCATCCTTGGGGGGAGAGTTTGAGAGCAGGACAGGCTTGTAGTGGTGCATCTTGTGAATATTTTTCATGTCCAACAGTTTTGGCTGTGAGAATTCCTGCATCAGGTATTTCTGTTATGTGCAGCTCTCAGCAGCTGGCGTGTTGTCACATAGATGTTTGCCCCTTGCAGCAGGGATTTCTCTTTACAATTTCTCATTGCTCTGGAGAGCCACAGGACAGGATGATTAAGTGAGACTTTTTGTGCCTATTTGATTACTTATTAGGAAAAAAAAGTCACTTGGGTCTGGTCCTGCAGTTCATTTAACTACTTCAGATAAAATGGCTTTGCCTTCCTGCTCTTGGCATCAGCTCCATGTGACAGATACCCATCAGATCCCATGATTGACCACTTCTGTCTGAGGCAGTTGCAACTATAAATCTTACTGTCACAATTTGAGAAATGGGAACTTTATCTCCCTTGGAGTGTCAAGTCCCACTTTTCCAGAAGGATACTGTTATTTATATCTCAGTTCAGTCTTTGAAATTATAACTTATGTGTACTGAGTTATGGAAAAAGTTTTTAATTTTAGTATCACTGTAGTCAAAACTGACCTCAATGCTCTGTATGGTGCAGTGGTGGGATGCAAGTTGTGCTCTCGTCTAAACTGCACTTTACAGTGGCTCCAAAGCCCACAAGTGACACCAGAATGAAGACGTGCTTCAGAGCACTGGTGTTTGCCATTAGGCTTACCATCAGGTTTAGCTGTTACCTTCCTCTTTAAGTTCCTCCAAGAGTAGTTCAGAGCACATAAAATAAGCCCCTGTGCTAAACTCCTTAAGTTAAGCTTGCTATCCTCTTTCTCCTGATTGTAGATGACTGCTTTACAGTCCATCGATTCTTTAGAGCAGCAAGTGTAACTATGTTTAGTGCTGCTATATAAGGAGTGAGCAGCCCAGCCAGAAACCCCTGGGGGAAAAGGGTGAAGCCAAAGACAAAGTGTGTTGAGGCTTGCTTACACACACTACAGCTAACTCCTTTAATACCACCTCATTTATCAGCAGTTATAATGGAAGTCAGGGGGATGTGGGTGTGTTAAGCTTTGGTTTTTAAATGTCTCAAGTACAGAAGATACTTAAATTTTCATTTGCCCAGATTAACTTCCAACATTATAGAAATTCAGTAGTTTAATTGGATGGAAATAGAGATGCAATGAGAGAGGTAGTTTTCCACAGGATGTCTATGACCATCTAATGTGTTCTTAAACTGCCTATATTTATAGGTTGACAGTCTGTGAAAGTGTATGAAAATTCCTTCTTTTAGTAAGAAATGCAGTGGAAGGGGCAAAGATCTGCACAGCTCTGCTCAGAAGAAAACCAAAGTCTTGACACTTGTCTATGAAATGTCTTTCCTCCAGACTCCACCTATTGATGAGTCCTAATCATAACGCTCACAAAGCACAGCAACTATACAGAGAATGGTGATTAACACTGCTGTGTTAACTGGTTAAGTGTAATGCTTCATTTTTCAGCTAATCTGTAAATAGTTGGCATAAATAGTAGTAATGTGCAGATATTGCATATAAACAACCTTTTTCCATAAAATTTCATGTACTCAGTGTTTGAGAAATCCCTTCTTTGTCTGATACTGCTCCATAGAGAGGAGCACTGTAAATAGAGAATTTACTTGTCTGAAGCCTTGTTTGTATGTAGTTTTTGTTCAATCAGATGAAAGGAGTTGCCTGTTATTTGCATGTTTAATTACAAGGATCATCCTTCATACCGGTCTGTTAAGAAAAACTAATGGAATTTCAGAAATCTGCATAATTAAATCCAATGGTGTATGAAAATGAATAGCCTTGAAAGGAAAGTCTAAGTGTAGTATTTGATACTATTAGACAGAGAAGACAGAGGACTATGTGGAGGCTTTACCATCAAGTAACTGTTGCTGATACTTAATTTTTATTAAGAAGTAATTTGTCCTGCAGTTCAGACCTTGTAGAATATAAAACATCACTGTGGACTTCAGGCAAACAGGGAGGATGTTTTGGGTATTAGGTAATGGTCACAGCTGCTTCATATTCTTCCAGAAATAGTTTTGACACTTGTGTCCAAAAAGGATATGTTTATAGGTGTTCATGGTGTCTGGAAGGAAACTGAAAAAATAAGAATCTTTGAATTTTTAGATGGAGTAAAAAAGCAGCCTCATCAACTTACTTGTTTAGTACTTGATACAGACAGGCTGAATTATCCTAGGTGGGTCTTTTTGATTTGGTAGTGGGGCAGTTTTATTTTTTGTCATGGTTTCTCCCCCCAGCCATGCTTATGAGCTCCATATGTTAGCCTGTGTTTCAGTGGCAGTGACTGAAGTGCAGGAGCAGAAAGGAACTGCCAAGGTCCAATGGAATAATCTGCCTTTGGGAACAGACTGATGGTGGAAGCCCAAGTGTCACGGGGTCAGGGTTGGGGTGGTAACTACCTTAGCTCTTTTAGAGTCCTTGTTCCTATTCTGTATTTTAAATCTTATAATGCTAACTTTTATCTCTCTGTTTTTCAAAACTCTTGAAAACCTATAGTGATATTTTGGGTGGGATGTATAAGCACAGTAATCACATAACATACAGGAAAATTGGTTTGAGTTTTCTCTCACTTTGAGGTGCTGAGCAGTACAGAACTGAGCTCTGAAAGAACAGAAGAGATTTTGCCATAGTTGCATAAATCACAAGGACTATGACAAGGCACAAGAAATATTTTGTATTTTAAGGTTTACATACCTTTGTCTTCCTCTGTGTAGATGTTGATATTTTTTTTTCCACTCAATTGCAATAAATATTGCTTTTGTTCCATGTTTTCTAAACTCACTGCTTTGTCTTATTCCTCAGGAAGCTGCTGTTCTAGAGTGGATGCTTGCCAACCCCTGTACCTTTTTCAATGACCAAATAAAAATATACCTCTGAGAAAGCAATAATACCTTATGTGTAGAAGCTCACTCTTAGGATTAGGTTTACTTTTCTTCTCAGTGTGTAAAAGCAGGATGTAAAATTAAATATTTCACTCTGAGATGTGCATCCATCTTGGAAATTAAAATGCCAAAGATTTAGGTCCTTTACAGAAAAATACCTGTTGTACCTTGATTTAACAGTTTGTATCACCTGTAGCATTTAGCAGTATATATTAATGTTCTTTAGAGGGAGGGCCTTGTTTCTTTGGGATAGATTTTGCTCACCAGAATATTTAACTTTTCAGAAACCCAGTTCTCATACAGAAATTAATATATTGTTAATACCTTCTAGTTAGTAATGTAAAGTTGTTTGTAAATACTACTTTTCACTTATTTGGAGTCTTTTTTGTTTGTTTCAGGGTGCAGTCTCTGGGTCAGTTCAGGCTTCAGATCGACTTATGAAAGAACTCAGGGATATATATAGATCACAGAGTTATAAAACAGGTAAATGCCTCAGATTTCCCTTTTAAAAATATACTTTAAATGAATTCTCCTGGGAAATACTTGCTGCTAACTTCTCTGTGTTTTGTTGTCCTGTGTTTGTATATAAGTGCATGTTTGTGTCTGCACATATGTAAAAATACATAGATACATCATGTATACTCTTATTACCTAAAGTAGTTTATTTATGGAGAAAAGTCAGAACATCTATTCCTTGCAATAATGATGTGAATTACAGTGGAAAACAAGCTTGTGTTTTAAATTAGTTGGAGTAATGAGCAGTGATTATCTTGAGGCAGTGGATGGCTGTTTCATTTATTCCTTATAGGAGCTGTAGCTAAAGTAGCTCAGCAAAGGATTTAGCAAATTGAATTGCCTGAGTGTTACTGTATGAGAAATAGAAATTACATGGATTTTGGGCAAGTTGTATTCCTCTAGGTCTGCCAAATAGACAACTCCATCACTGCAGCCAGGTGTCAGACCCTGGTGCAGGCCACAGTGAGAGCAGGAGGAATGCCTAATTAGGGAGTCAGTATAAACTTAAATACATTTTCACTTTTCTGGACTTGTGTCCATATTTATTTCTAGTGGACTTAAACCTCACTTGATGATGCCATTTTAATCGTGTGTAAAGGAACAGAGGTGAGGAGACAATAGGTTCCTGTTTTGATTTGTCATATTTAACTTTTGGGTCAATTGTTTCATGTGTGGAAGTGCTGGGGACAGTGGTAAAATGTCTGGGGTATAAATTTGATGAGGTGACCTAGTGTTGATCTAATGAAGCCTCCTTCTTTTAGCTTTGTTGCAATTGTGAGCTTGCCAGTGTGCCCCAGTGACCACTATCTGGGAAGGAATGGGTTAGTGTGTCTAGGGAGGAGGAAGCAGATCTGTGTGAAGTCAAGGGGGATGCTTTACTGCCCATTTTGACCTTCAGGGTTTGTTTTGGTGATCAGAGCTAAGGCAGGCTATAACAGTGCTGTGGGGTGCTCAGGCATGTGTGGTACCACTGGGGTCAGCCAGGGGCCCCTGGCCAGCTGTGGTTTGAGGGGAGGGTTTAGGCTCTCTAATAATGCCATTTCTTGGCTTTAGATAAACAAGTCGTAATGAGTTGCAAAAGACTGATCTTGATGTAGAAAGCGTACTCTGAATTATGAGGAAGAGCAAGTCTTGCTAAACGTGACAGAAAGATGAGGTTCTAAAGGGTGATAGCAGTACCTTAAAGCTTATGACTTTGGAAATATGTAAAAACACTGCAGCTGGATGCCTCATGTAGATCTCTAAAATATGGTAATGAAGTAGTGTCAAGTGGAGGTTGACACTACAAAGATGATGGCAATTCTGCTTTGAAACACAGTCCTACTGACACATTTATTACATTGTGCCAGTAAATTGATGCTGTTTGTTATAAAACTTGCCTGGATTCATTCCTTATGGTTTCATTTATTCTTCAACCTTGAGTAAATTTATGTTCTTGGTTCTTTTCCTTTGCATAAAACTCCTGCTTTCATAGCCTAGTTCTGCCTTTTGTTAGGTAACTGTCACCACGTGCACAGGCTGTGGCAGTAATTGGCTTTTTTAATGTCATTTTTGTTAGAGTACTTGCCCCATGGTCCATTTTACCCTAAATTTAATTTCTTCCTACTAATGCACAAAGGGAACCATTGTGAAACTCCCAGGTTCTTGTAACTGTTGCAAGGTAATTTAATGCTGTTTTCATTTCTTTGTAAGACAAGCCAGAAAGGCTAAGGCTGATTTTTAGTTAGGTAAGGATCGCTTTATTTAGTTTTCATGAGGTTACATGATTTTAGGACTGACTGTAGAACACTGGGAGTTCTGAAGTGAATAATACTTGTAGCAATAGTATTTTAATTTTTTTTCTTCTCTTGGACTGTTTTATACAAAAATACTATTCAAAGACAGTGGCTTCAACTCTAGCTGTGCATTCAAGGTAGTATCTATTTTAGAAATTAATTTCCTATATCAAATGAAGCAGTGCTGCTGGAGTTCTAGCAAAAGATTACAAACTTGCTCTCAACAGCAAAGTTGCTTATCTACCTGGGAAATCTAGGGGAAAAATTGCCCTTAAAGAAACAAAAAAATATTTTCTTATGAGTTGACAGAAGCAAAAAATACTCCAGAAAATTAAGATACTCTGTTGTGAATTAGTTTCATTAGCCTGTTCAGATAATGGGAGCCACAAGTCCTGTAAAACAAGATTATCTCATTTCCACATATCAGATTGGAGATTCACAAACGACTTAGTGTAATTTAAGGGATTGAGAAAAGAGGGCAAGAAACAAAGAATTTGGGGACATTAAATGAAACCTTTTCTGTTCGTATCTTTAGCATCTGTTTTATTCAGATATAGTTCTTATGGACTTCAATTCCCTGGTTTTATCCAAAGACTGTGTGGGATTTACTTTTTGATATAGTAATGTTGCTCTAAGTAAGATGTTGCCTGTGTTTTGAAAAAAATTGTTTTTCTTTCTACATTTCAATTTCTTTCTTTTTTGCTTGCTTCACGGTTCTGTGGGTTTCTTTTTATTTGATCACCTTTGAGTAATAAAAACCCCACCCCACCTTGTATTTAAGCAAGAGGAACCTACCTTGATTCCTTTCCTAAATTAAGGACTTCTCCTTAATTTAAAACTGCTGTTAATAAGTTAAATTATTTTGAGAAGAAAAAAAGCACATAAGTTACTTCCAAATAGCATCCTGTTGATTATTCAGAAAACCCCAAACACCTTCCCTCAGCTTTGGATGTTGTTAAGTAGCTTCTGTATCAAGATCTGGAGCCCCCTTGCTGCTGCTCCTGAGGACACAGGTGCTGTTTGGCTCAGAACTCGCTGCCTGAGGCTGCTGGAGTGTCTTGCACTGGTGTTCTGTCTCTGAGAACCCTCCTGCAGCTGCTGCCTGAGATGCAGTACAACCCTTGGGGTACAGCTCTTCCTACTGGGGAAGCTGGCAGAGTGTCTGGGCCTTGGAGCTGGACTGGGACAGGAGCTGTGGCTAAGAACAGCAGGCTCAGGGTGGTGGGAGGAGTGCAGGAGTGGGGCTGAGAGCTTAGGGAGTGAACAAAGGGATGGAAGGTTGGCAGGGTCTCCAGCTTGTCAGAGTGACCCCGAGAAAAGTTGGAAAGTCTCTTTTCCCAGCCTGGCGCTTGAAGATGGAGTCAGAGCACGTAATTTCTTGGTCTCAAGGTTGTTCATTGTTTCTTATCTATAAAATTCTTTCTCCTGCCCTGCTGAGGTCCACTCAGCAAGACAGTCAGAGGCACTCTGCCTGCCCCTGGGGTGCTGTTATCTTTTTATACTAAAAACTACATATACACTACTTAAAATTACTTCCTAATACCTATCACCTATGTTAGACAGTGAGCTTCTACTCTAAGCCAATCCATAAGTGCCAACATCACAGAAGATGGAGGCCAGGAAGAAGAAAGAGAAAGGCTGGACACACCCAGTTCCCTCCATCTTGCCTCCTGAACCCCCATACCAAAAAACCCCAAAATCTACTTTTTCACCCTGTGATAACTTCACTATTATTCTACCTAAACTGTTGTGGCTTGCTGATCTTCATATAAGGTTGGTAACTTGCTCCATGGGTCCTAAGCAAACCCACAGGTGTTTTGGGCTCTGTGCCAGGGCTTCTGAGCCCCCTGGCAGGGGTCCTGGACAGCCAGAGGGATGCCCTGGGTTCCCACAGAAGGTCTCTTGTGATCTTCCATTGTTAAGCACAGTGTCAGGAGCCTTACTGTAACTTACTGCCTTCTCTGTAAAAAGTATTGTTTGCTCCCACTTGGATGCAGGTGGAAGAAAATATTCTGGATACAGCAGTGGAAGAGATTTGTCATTAATGGGAGTTGACAATGAGCAGAGTTCTGAATGTCAACTCTTTTGTTATTACATCAGAGCAGTACAAATTTAAATTCTTAGAGTTTGTGACTTACACTAAGGTCAGTTCAGAAAATAGTGTCCTTGGATCTGGGGAATTGGAAAAAGGCCTTAATAGCTCCTTTGGTTGCTCCTCAAACAGAGATGCCGTGTTCCTGAAGTAGCTACTGATTAAAAGGGACATGGATAGCACAGTGAGTATGTGTTCAGGCCTACATTGTCATTCTAGACATAGAAAAATTAGAAATTGTGCTCTTGGCTGCAGTACCCACTTGTTAGTGGTTCTCAGAAAGGAGAACCAAGCATGGGTGCTTTAACCTGTGTGCCAAGTTTTGAAATGCTTTAGAAATTATGGTGTCTGGACAGCTTGAAATGTCACATGTACTCCAAGTACTAATGCTTATAAGCTTCAACTGTAAGATTATTTTTAGGCTAGAATAATAAAACTCAGAAATTAATATCCCCCATTCCTTGGGAAGAATGTGGTGACTGCAATCTGGTGGTTGTATTGCCTTCAGAAATTCTAGGCAAGTTCCTGATTTGTATATGGCTTCCAAATAATTAGGTCAGCAACAAGGATGCTGTTAAGTATTAGGCCAGGTAACAAGTTTAATAATAGTGGGTTAGTCTATATGCATGAATATTCTGTGAAAGAGGAGGTTTAATTTCTGTACATGACTGATACCATGCTCTAAATCTTGCTGGGTGGTTAAAGATTTATTGCTTTTTCCAGAGCTGCTTGTGAATTTATGCAGAGAGGAAGCTTTGAATATACAAGAAAATGGCAGATAATTTCCATCCTTCCCTGGAAAATGAATTGCACAACTGTTGTTTAACATGCTTATAACAAACAGGGCACTGAAAGTCACCAGCTGGCTCCCACAGACCATTCCATTCTTTAGGTGCATCTTTCTGGCTTCCTCAGTCAACTGTTGGGAATGTGCTTCATCCCCTGCTGTATCTCCTTTTTGTTGGGTTTCTACTGCATACACTGTCCTGTGTGCTGTCCTGGTCTGTCTGTACTGATGAGAACCTGGGAAACACAGTGCAGCGCACTCACACTGTTGGGAAGTGTCTTAAAAACACATTGGTGGTGTACTGGGTGTAAAATACAGTGTGTAATACGCAAGCTGGAGTTGTTGTTGTGGAAGGTTTGAAGGTGAAATGGTTAAGTATTAGAAAAAAAAATTGACTAATGTGGAATTTAATAGAAGTGAAAACACTTTTTTCTTGTAGCTCCTCAGAAGTGCATCTGCTACTGGAGGAAGGATATGCCTCAGTATCCTGCCTATTGCTTACACCTGCTGACAGTATTCAAATTTAAAGCAAAGAATGGTTTTGCTAAGTTTTCTGTCTACACTTTTAGTGCATAATTAATTCCATCTAATATTTCTACAGGGATATATTCAGTGGAACTGGTAAATGACAGCTTGTATGAATGGCATGTTAAGCTTCTCAAGTAAGTTAATAAAGTTTTAATGTGTTCTGTACAATCTTGTTTCAGTATTGCTGGAGAGATTCTTTTGATAAATGAGTATCTCTAGCCATAGTATATAAATCACCATTACATTATGTGCCATAGCATATAATCACCATTACTGCAATAGTACATTAAGGGTAATTGTAGCCACTAAATAGTGGCTGTAATTCTGATACCTAGAAAATTGTAGAGATGGACCAGTAGTGATTGAGCTGGCAAAAGGACAGACCTGCTTTTCCCTGTCAATGCTATGTGTATTGCATTAAGTGTCATTACTGTTCAATTCTAAAACTGCTCCAAAAGATACAGCCTTAAATTATGAAAATTCTTTTCAAGAATTTTTGCATTGATTTTATTTTTGTTTTGAATGACAGGGAATTCCAGCTTCTAGTTGCACTTAAGATGTAGGAAAGAACATAACTGAGTGTCATTAGTTTATTTCTACAGTTAAACAGATACACAGGTCTAAAACTTATAGCTATCACAAAAATGTGATTTATATAATGATATGTACCTTGTCTTCTGTCATTGTCTAGTATACCAAGTGAAAAGCAGTACATAACTCACCTTCTTACATCCATAGTCCTGGAACTTAAATCCTAGAGGTGTTAGAGTGGAATTATTCCTGGTAACAGGACCCCTATACAGTACCCTAAAGAAAGGAGGAGCCTACCCACACTGTGCTGGGTGGCTGCAGCAGCTGGCAGTGGATGGAGGAGCTTCCATGGGTTCAGAGATGTCCTGGGGGAAAAGGACAGAGGCTGTTTCAGCACAGGAGTTAACCTGCAATTGTTGCCTTGTCCTAGGGGTGAAACTTGTGCAACCTGGGTCACCAACTGCTGAAATAGTTTTGTTTCCTTCTTAGTGTAATCATGGGCATGTGAAGGTTTTGAGGCTGAAAATGGCAGGAATGACACATCAGAGAAATCTGTGTCACGTTATTGGAGGCCTTTCCTGTTGAGTGTGTTTGTAACCAAGTGCTCAAACCATGTGCAGTGATTTGAAACCTCAGTTCAAGTGCTGTGAACAGGTCTCATTTTCTGCCCTCAGAAAAGAGGAAGTGGAGTGCATGCAGCAAATGCCTTCCAGAATGTCTAAGAAAAGAAGTGTTGTGTTTGTTTATTGCAGCAAAAAGTGTCTGGAAACAAATGCACTATGTGCAGAGCAGCTGAGGGGTAGATGTTCAGAGGAAAGAGCCCATGTGAGGAAGGAACAGTATTGTTACTTGGAACAGGTCCCTTTGTACTGGCACAGCAAAAGCCATGGCTTGAAATGAGAGGTTCCTAAGCACTGGAAGATTTTTTCTGAAATAACTTCACACTGGTAGGATGGGGACTACCTGCCCAAGAAGTTGTGAAATCAGATGTTCAACTTTTTAGTTTCAGCTGTAGTAGTGGATTAGATTTAAGGGCCTTTCAGTCCCTTTAACATCTACTTTTGGCTTGCTGCAGGTGTTTTTGACTGGTCTCTTCTATTTAAAAGTGGATGAGGTGTCAGATTAACCCATTGGGATTAACCCAGTGGGGTCTGCATTAATGGCCAGGCTGCTAACCACCAGCATTTTGGAACAAACAGTTGTTGAAAATCTGCTGAGCAGAAGCTGCTGGCTTTAATACTTCTGCTGATGCAGATTATTTTTAACAGCTGATGCAGAAGTACAATTACATATTCCATAAAGGATTCACTAACTATGTGCTGAAAACAAGATTACTACAGTCTTCCTGTTTTTCTCCCCTCTTTTTTGAACACAGTTGAAGAGAATTAAAATTGCTCTTTTCAAATAAAGAGCTTATTTTGTGCTATGTTTAAGCAACACTTGATAGCATTGGGAATGTTCTACGTTGTAGCAAGCTTTTATGCTGATCTTGTGGCAAAGTTTTTACTTGGTAAAAGGAGCAGTAATTTCCAACATTTCACCTTAAACTGTAATTTGTAAACTACAATTACATAAAGGAAGTATTTAAGAGGAACTACTGTTTACAGGTATTGAAAATATTAACTTGATCTATGGTCTCCCCCCTGCTGCTTTTACAGGGTTGATCCTGATAGCCCACTGCATAGTGATCTTCAGGTCTTAAAAGAAAAAGAAGGTGTAGAATACATTTTACTCAACTTCTCTTTTAAGGTAAGTGTCTGTAGGACAAAAAGCTGCAGTTAAATTTGAGGCTTTCTATAGAAAATTACTGAAATGACCCTCAGCTGTTACTTGGGTAATAATGGATCTGTGGTCTTTAAAAAAAGGGTGGGAAAAGAAAACTGACTTTTAAGTTAATCTCTGAAGCTTCCCAAAAAAAAGCTTTTTAGCCAATACTATAGAAAGTGAATTTTTACACAACTGAAAAATTGTAGTACTTCAAATCTGATTTGACAAATAAGGCTGTTGAAATACTTTCTGTTTGGGAAGCAGTGTCCCAGTATTTTCCTTAACCTGTTTTTTTTATTATTCTTCTCAGGATAACTTCCCTTTTGATCCTCCCTTTGTGCGAGTGGTGTCTCCTGTGCTCACGGGAGGGTAGGTTTGAGCTGTCCTGCAGAAATTGTGCTTTGTGGTAAAAATGTTCAACTTGAAAAACTCTGTGCCTGCCATATGTGTAAGAACTGACCTCTGTGGGGAGTTAACATTGCTCTTTCTTCTCCTCTTGTAGGGTGCTTTGGGTTGGTGCTTTGAATGGGTGTTGATCCCCTTAAGTTTGCTGTAAAGTCTTACCTGTCTCTCTCTTGCTGGTAGCACTGCCATAAAGTTTTTGTTTAAAAATCCCTCAAATGCTAACCCAAAACCACAAAATTTCATTGAAAACATGCTCCAAATGTCATCTAAAGCATGTTTGACATGCTGTCTGTGGGACTCGTATATACCCATGGAGAGACAATTTCACCTTCCAAGGCTTTTAGGCATCTCCTGGTGACAGGAAATGATACCTGCTTTTGAAAATGCAGTCTGTGATAGCTGGTGCTGATTCTTATGTGATTTGTCATGTGTTTTTCTTTAATTCAGTAAATGGTTAGTGCAGTTAAATAGGGTTCCTGAGGGGTGCTGCTATCTCAAAATTAAACAAGCAGACCCAAACACCAGAAAATTCATTGGCTTCTAATTTGATTGTACTCAGGCTTCTTTTTAGAATGAAAAAGGATGGCTTTTCAGTGGTCATTTCCCTGTGAATGTCACTTGGATCTATGAGGTATAAATGTCTTGATGACAGAGGAGAATACATTTTGGCAGTGGTAAATTCTCTTCCCTCAGTCCAGGTTTTGTCATGCTCAGGTGTTCTGCTGAGCCCCAGTAAGCACAATGGATAAAGTGTTTTTGAAATTTAAAAAAGGTATTTAGAGAAAAAGAGCAAGAAAAGATCTGATTATCTCATGTTATTTATAAGTGCACCTGCATTGTTTGAAATGGGGTTAAACTTCTTTACACAATTGAATGTTGTTGGTTTCTTTTAGCTACACATCTGTACCCTGTATATGTAGAGTAGCCATAAAAAGTAACTTCCCATTTTCCATGGTCTCTGCAGTTGTGCAGAATAGCTCAGTCAGTGGTTTAACCTAAGTTTAGTTAGCAAACAGCTTTTTTTGTCTCACTATGCTAATATTCTTTGCCCAAGTATGACATAGCTAACTAGTTACAATATATTACTGGTTAAAGGGTATTTCAGCTTTGTGAACAAAGAATTGAACAAACAAGCTGGCAAAGAGCTTAAAGTGAGCTGTGAGCACTTGCACCTTTTTACCAACTGCTGATGTCAAGTATATTTTCTTTCATATTTGTTTCTAGGTATGTCCTAGGTGGAGGTGCATTATGCATGGAACTTCTTACTAAACAGGTGAATGAGTTCTTTTATCTGGATAATAAAACATGCCTGAAAATAATGGAAATAGGTGCTTCTCTTGAGTTGAAGAATCTCTGTGTGGAATAAATTACACATTCCAAAGGAAACATGGTGGAATTAAACCTCAGTCCCACAAAATTTGCCTCGCTGATCTTGTTTGAGATCTTCTTTTCTGCCTTGGGTGGCTTACAGGAGATGTGAGGAAGAGGCAGGCAGTGTGAGCAGGTCAGCTTGGGGCTCTCAGAGTCCCTGTGAGGAAGGAAGGCAGTGTGGGGAGCGAGTTGTTTTCTTTTCTAGAAGCCTCTTCAACCACTAAAGTCAGCTCTGGAGAAGTGAGGAGTACAGATGATTATAGTCATAGATGATTTGTGCAGACAGAATGATTTTCTCTTTAAAATAAGTAAATTAATGAAGTAGTTTACTTGCAGGCTCTGGCAGAAACTCTTGTGAGCTCTGGAAGGTAAAGTAATGCCAGAGAGGAGCAGAATTCTTCCAACTTACTAAATTCACTTCATTAGAGATCAGTCTTTTCTACTTCTTGGAAAAAGGAGTTGTAATTTCTGTTGTGATATTGCTGAAAATGTGTCAATGGTGTAAGGATGGAGCTTTTTTTGTTCCTGTCTTGCTGTATTTTGGAATGTAATTCAGTCTTTTAGTTCTTATTAATTCTTAGTACTGGGACTGTATATAATTCTACAGATTTTCTGTGGAAAATAAATGTTAACTGAAAATTAGTAATTGAAACTGGAATGCAGGAAAAAAACTCCCAAAGCATGTGTTCCAAAACAGATTTGCAAGGTGAGCACAAGAAGTGAGTACATGTTGTATGTTAGCATTCCTTTCCTCCTGCAGGGCTGGAGCAGTGCCTACTCAATAGAATCAGTCATCATGCAGATCAATGCCACTTTAGTCAAAGGAAAAGCCAGAGTACAGTTTGGAGCCAATAAGGTAAATGTGCTGTGTTTCTCAACTACACAAATCACTGTTGGGCATCCCTTTCCTTGCTGACTTGCATAGAAGATGCTTAATGCCAGAATTGCTATTGCAAATATATATATGCATTTCAAATTGTCTGGTGCCTGTATGAGTACTTCATTGGCAATTAAATATTTTTTATGTAATTACAAGTGTATGAGAGGGATAAAGCCTTGGGATGGGCAGGGTAGGCTTTTGCCATCCTTGTGTTGGCAAGGGAGGGGAGGGAAGGACAATTAGAATTGGGAGGATTTGGAATTTCTGGCTCTAAGAAGAGAACCTTGAAAGCCAGGAATGTTCTAACGTTGTGCATGAACTTTATTTTTAAGCCCACTGTGGAATTTCCTTGTTAGAACTGGTTTTGAGTCTTGCATGTCTAGATGTAGGTTTTTATATTATTTTTTTCTCCTTTCAGAATCAATATAATCTAGCAAGAGCACAGCAGTCCTATAAGTCACTAGTACAAATACATGAGAAAAATGGTATGTATGTTCTTGCCTCTTTGTTCTTGTCTGCACAGCACCCTGGGAATTGGTGTTTGCCACAGAGAAACCTGAAGTGACAAAGTGTCTTATTTTGGCTTGGGAAGACCATAAATGTTTCTTCCTTCTTTTTTTCTTGCACTAGAAAAACAGTAGTGCTTAAATAACTTGACTGTGATCATTGCATATTTTCCATTTTACTTGAATGCTGTGTGTGTGTTCCTGCTGCTTTTGAGAGGCAGCTGCATTTCATGTTCATCCAGTTGATCTAGGAACCTCATTGTTACTGTAGCTTTAGGGACTCTTAATATTGGCAAAGTATCTGCTGGGAGTTTATCCCTTTCCCTGAAAGATTTTGTTTCAGTGTGCCAAGAACCTAGTGGAAATAATCATTAATGAAGAGAGAAAGTAGGGAAAAAGACCTGAGACTAAAAAATACAAGAAGTCCAGGTGAGGTGTACTAGCTGGGAAAGTGTACAATAGAATAGGGAAACACCTGCCCACCTGTGTGGGATTTTTTTACTCTATTTCAAGTCTCTCTGCTGCATAAAACAAGTGTACAAGTGCTTCAGGTGTAATGGAGTTTACTGTGGCAGTATGAGAAGCCTGAGGCTTTAGAAGGTTTAAGTAGCTTACATGTTACATAAAGGAAGTCAGCAGAATTGGTTCTCTGGTCTTGTGATGAGGGAGTCAGTGCAGTTACACTTCTGGGATGTTCAGGGCTCTGGGTTGGACAGTGTCCTCCAGGAATTGAGGTTATTGTGAAAGTGTTTGTGTGACTGCAGTGAGCACCTCAGTTTCCCTGCTGCTAACACAGAACAGAACTCCTGTACTCTTGGGAGGGAGATCAAAGATAATGACTTCAACTTCATCTCCAGTTTTACAGTATTTTGATCTTGCTGTTCACTGAGCCTTTTGCTCTTTTTGTTTGCTACAAAAGCCAGCATGGCTGCTTAGTGCTACAAGTGATCAGTGCTGCCTCAGGAGCTGAGCACAAAGCATTCACAGTACTCAGTGCTGCTGTGAAGGGTGGCTTAAGCTTTGAGCTGCTACCTGCTCTCTGGGACAGCACAAATAGGCCTTGTAGTCACTGTACACACATTTAAAGGAAGTGTTACAAGAGGGGCTGGGAGAATTAAGATTGGAGCTCTGGAGGTCTCTAGAAAAAGCAGTGCACACCTGATCAGGTATGATTCAGCTGTTAAATGTGCCAAATTATGTCAGGAGACCAGTTATTCAGCTGACATTTCTGAGCTTATTCCTACGGTAAGATTTGCAGAAGTAGGATAAACCGTTTGGTTGCTTGTGCGTGCCTAGCTCTACACAAAATGGGATTTATACGAGTGTCCCACTGCAGTCATGTTTGTATGTCTATGTTTTAAGCAGCTTGAAGACTTTGGGGGTTTTACCTCTCTTCTGTTAAGTTTGGTTAGAGAAATGTTCTCCTTCAGCAGCTTCCCCTTGTTGGTGTTCAGCTTGTCCAGCTCAGGGTAGCTGCTGCCACAGAAATCTGTGTGTGCACACCCACATACCAGGGCAGATCCTGCAATGTGCCACATGGTTTGTCTCCCACTGCTGACTTACTCACATTTAGGGCACTGAGTAAGTGTGCTCAGCTCATGCTGAGCTGGCCTGCCTTAAGAGGGAAGGACTGAGGCAGGTTCCATCTCCCAAGTGAAGAGTGGGATGCTCTGGACACAGCAGTGCTGGTACCTAACATGTCTCTGTTCTCCACAGGCTGGTACACTCCTCCAAAAGAAGATGGCTAACGCTGAGGACTGTTGTATACCTGGACCAATGTCAACAAAACAAGCTCTTTTTTATGTTTTCCAACACACAGACTCAAGCTATGAGTGCCCCTATAACAGCTGTACTGAGGACTTTAGCTATTAGATAAGTTAGTGGATAATCTGTCAACTGACACGTACAGTATAAGTTACAGCCTTACCATTCCGCTCTTCTTAGGCATCTGGACTGAGCAGTTTGGGCCTTTACCATATTTGTTCTTATGGATTAAGCAGATTTGGGCCACGCCCTCCCTTCTCCCTTTTTTTATTTGAAAGCATAAACTCTCCCTGCAGCAGGCTATCAACTTACTAAAGATCATACAATAGGAGTGAGTTGTTCACACACTTCTGTGTATTTCTTACTTTTTGCAAAATGCAAACTGCAGAGACTTGCATTGTATTGTTTCATTTAAAGCCAAGAAGTTTAATACATTGTTTAATACTGTTTTAGGAAATGTCAGGTCTTGCAAATCACAGTAGTTTTTCTGGTCTAAAATGACAGCGTTTGTAGTATTTTCCAAATTAATGATATAGGAAAAACACATGTATGTTAAGTCATTAAACATTTTTCATGGCTGTATGAGAATATGAACTGTTTATTGGAAAACATGCTCTTTGTTTAGATTATTTTAATTTTTTTGTTTGGTTTTTTTCTTTTTTATTTTGTTCTGGTTTTTTGTTTTTATGCAGAGCAAGGCTGTGCCAATAAAACCTTGTAACTAGTCACTTCCACTGGGGCGTCAGAACTTGCTGGGCTGTTCCTGCTACTTGTTGGCTCAACCTCCTTAACAAGAAGAGCCATAGTATGAAGCTTGAAGTTATTTAAAATACTAAAAACCGTTTTAGGTGTTCCATTTTATTAACGGGTTGTTGCAATCATTTCTAAACTAATGAACTTATAAAGTGATTGGCACAAATTGAGATGGAAGTCCATGAATGAAAAATTTTTATATAAAAACTACAATAAAGTACAAAAACATGTCATCCAATTCCGAGGCATAAGAAATGCTGCCATAGTCATGACGGTGGTTTTGTTATTGAAAGACTAATGGGAACTGTTCTTTCTTTATTAGGAGATGAGTCTGGGTCTGTGTACTTACACAATTTCATTGCCTTACCGGAATCGACTCTTATTTTGGTTGTAGTGCTAGTCCTGTGCACTCCTCGGGGCCGAGCGAAGGGTGTGTTCCGTGGATTAAGCACTTTCAGAAGTGCAGAAGCATGTTTTTATGGGGTTTTTTTTTAGTTGACTATCGAACTTGTGCTCTTTTCTCTATCAGGCGCCCGCGGGTCCTTGTGCATTTGCTTCTAGATGCAGTTTTTAGCTCGAAAGAAGCGACCTGGGCGAGCTTTGGCGGCGCTCCCGCTGTGCGCTGTTGCCGGGGCTGTGCCGCTGGCCGGGCACGGCGGGGCTGCGGCGGCCCCGGCCTCCGCCCTGCGCCGCACGCTTCGGTTTGGGTTCCATTTCTTCTGGCAGAGTTCCTTGGCAATGTACAGTAATTTGTAAACTTGCATCAAGTTTATGAATAAAAAGCATTTTACGAAGCGCTGTGTCCGTGCTGGGGCCGGGGGCGCGAGGGGAAGGTGGGGAGGTGAGAGCGGGGCGAGTCCTCCCCGCCGCCAGGCGGCGCCGCTGGTGGGGCTCGTGCCCGCTCGCGCTGACCGGAAGTTGCCTCAGGCGCGGAGGCGCGCGGGTGACGCCGGGCAGCGGGGCCGGGGAGGCGGCGGGGCCATGGAATCCGCGGCGAAGGGCAGCTACGTGCTCGCCAACCTCGCCGAGGTGGTGGAGCGTGTCCTCGGCTTTCTGCCCACCAAGGCGCTGCTGCGCGCCGCCTGGTAAGGGCCGGGGCCGGGGCCGTGGGGTGGGCGGCGGCCGGCTCCGGTTGGCGGGGGCGGTGCGGCCGACGCGGTGTGTCCGTGTTGTGTTGCAGCGTGTGCCGGCTATGGAGGGAGTGTGCCCGGCGGACGCTGCGGACGCGGCAGCGAATCGCGTGGGTGTCGGCGCTGGAGCCGGGCCCCGCCGAGAACCACGCGCTGGTGCGCGCGCTGGCCCGCGAGCTCGAGGTGAGGGGCGCGAGGGGCGGCTGAGGGGGCGGCTGAGGGGCGAGAGCTCGGCCCCTTCGTTTAAACGCTGAACGCGCTTCTTCCAGCCTCCCGGCAAAAGGGACGTGCTCGGAGGCGTAGGCGGTTTTGACAGTTCGAGTGTTGCGTGGTAATACACCGATCAAAACGCCGAGGATTTGCAGTTCAGGGCACATCTGTTCATCGCGGCAATCTTGTTAAGAGGTTAACCCTCTTAGGGTTGGGGACACTGAGTAAACACTGCAGGACTTCACTGCCTGGCAGGATTTCTTTCCAGTATTAACCTGGTGCTGGGCCTTCACTACACAAAGATTCATGTCAGGGTCTTTCTCAGTAGACAGGCCTCAGCAGATCAGTGTTAAACCAACTGGCACAAGAAGCGCCTCTATACTGTTTCCCAGCATCAGCACTGGTGAACAGTAGATGCCAACAACCATGAATGCAAGGAGTTTAGATAAAAGAAGGAGTAGAGTCATGGACCAGTCTGCTGAGCTGTTTTTGCTTCTGTGAGGTTTGGGTCAGCTTCCTGCCTGTGGGCAGAAGTTCGTCTGGGCACTTCTGAGGCTAATGAGAGGTTATCTGCTGGCTGAGGGGAGCCTGGTGAGGGGGGAGGGCACCGACGTGGGCTGGCAGGGGAGCAGGAGCAGTTTCTCCTCGGTTTCTGCCCCCACTTTCCCTCCACTCTGTCCTGTCCTATGTACTCCTCTGCCCATGTCTTTGCAGAAGGTGCATGTGCTGCCCCAGACCGTGCTCTACATCGCTGATGCAGAGACCTTCAGCGGGCACGAGGAGTGTCACGAGCAAAAGAAAGGTAAAGGCTGGACCTAACTCACTTCCATTTAAAGATAGGCTGGGCTGTAAGCAGAGCACAGTCAGCTGAGGGGGAATTCTCTGTGGTTTGATTTCAGTGGACAGGAAATGTTTTGCAGAAGCCATGACTGCGTGGTATTGGATTTGTGGTAGGGAGCAGCTCACAGAATCTTGTTAATGTGCACAGATGGGTTCCTTTCCCTTCTGAGGAGGACGCTGAGTGTGTTTGCCTGCCGGCAGCCCTGTGCTCTCAGGGAGCAGCACAGAGCAGCGTGCTGTTACCAGGGTGGCCACTGATGGGCAGCATTGGTTAAACAGGACGGGGTTGGCTGTGGGATTTGCTCAGAACACACTTTTACTGCTCTCTGATGTTTTTTGGTTTTTTTTTTTTTTTTTGGTTTCTTCTCATTTTAACAGCCAGAAAACGAAACAGTAAAGAAACAGCTCTCGCACTTGAAAAGTTGTTGCCAAAGCGATGTCAGGTTCTTGGACTGGTCACCCCAGGGATTGTAGGTAGGAGCAAAATGTGTGGGTTTTGAGAGGTCAGCTTGAAGGTGTCATCTCCATTGTTCAGCACTGGCTTCAATTTTAAGGAGTTCAGTGTTGCTGCTAAGTGTCGTGGAGCTTACTTCGTGCATTGCAGTTATAATTAAAAGGGTTGATTTAATTGGGCAGGCAGCTTTCCCTAGCACCTTAATGTACTTATTGAATGTTGCTTGGATTTATGGACACATTTCAGTCATATTGTGACTAACTGTAGAGGGCATCCTGGTATATACCTGTGTGTAATAGTCTGGCAGGAGGCATATGCAGTAACTGGAAAATTCACAGCCTCCTGTGGCAGGCTTTTTCTCATGCTTCACTTTTATTATTAGAAACTTGGTTTTTTATAGTTTCTCACCTTAAATTCACTTTCCACATTATAAGTAAGGTATTTGATTGTTGTCATTACCATATTTTAATAGTACACTCCCAGTTTTTGTGTCAGTTTTGCTTTATACTGTTATCACATGCTTATAGTACACCTTAAAAACTTGAGTATGTCTGTGTGCCTGCAGAAGTTGGCAGGAAGGCTTGTATTGCACTGTTCTTGTTTTCCTAATGTTTTATATTTGATGTGCCTGGAGAGACATGTATAAATATATCCATGTCAAAACTGACTTCAGTGGGATCAATAGCCAGCAGGACTTAGACATTTCATCTTTCCAAAACATTAACAAAAAAACCAGAGTTTTCAGTTAGATAGGTTGTTACAGAAATAGATTGTCATGTCACCTGAGCTGTTCAACCTCTTTCTGCCTGTGTCATGTAAATGAATGTATTAGAATCTCTGAACACAAGATGCTTGGTTTTGTCTCTGTAGTTACCCCAATGGGTTCAAGCAGCAATCAGCCTCAAGAAATTGAAGAGGGAGAAGCTGGGTTTGCTCTGTTGTTTCCCAAAATTGATGGGGTGAAAATTCACACCTTCCATTTTTCTAAAGACGTGAAGAACAGGGTCTTTGATGAAAGCAAGTTTGCTGAAGCAGGTATGTCATTTTTCTCTCCTTTATGTGGGCTTCTGTGAGATGCTGCTCTCTGAGGTGCCAGTGGAGTTCTGAGTAGAACCAGCAGCTTCTGGCTCCAAGAGCCTCTGTGGGGCTGCAGCTGGTGACTGCATCTCTGCTCCTCCCAGTCCCTGGAGCAGTAAGGAGAAGTTATCCAAGTATCAGTTTCCAGTTCCTTCAGTTACATTTGAAGTGGAGCTGTTCAGAGGGAGGTGTGATGTAATATTTGAGGAGAAGCTAGGATGGTTAAACTTCAGAGTTCAGGATTTAAAAATAAGGGGATGAGTGTTGGCTTTTGTTTGTAGGTCTGAAGAATAACCCAGATCTCCGTGTTGTTCTTCTGTTTGGCTACAACTCCTGGAAGACTGGAGCTACTCGATTTCTTCATCAAATAGTCAATCCATTGAATGAGAAAAGTATCATCCTGGCTGGAGGACAAGTGGAGAGCTTTACATCACTGACCTCTGAGAAGTAGGTATTTTTTCCAAGGTAAATGATGAAAAAGATTTAACGTGAGAGAAACATTGCAGATCCATAGCCTTCTAGTAATATTGAAAATCCCGTTTACCAGTAGTAAAATAACAATTTCTTAAAGGGAAAAATGCCACAACTGCTACACTGATGTAGCCAGAAAAGCTGGAAGCTTGGTATGGCTGTGTTACAGTTTGGATTATGGAAACCCAGCTAGGAGAAACCCAATGAAAAGGCAATTTCTAGCTTCAGATACCTTTGTGTGTTTATTACAGTCAGCATTTCATCTCTGGAGTGCAGGTATATGAGTGCCTGTTGTGACAGCCCAGGATGTGAACGTGTGTTTGTGTGTTTGTGCCTCAGTTTGGCTCACAGCACGGAGCAGGAGCTGCACACACAGCAAGGCTGTGCCCCAGGGGCTCACTGAGCTGCCCTGGCTGCTGAAGGATGTGGCATTCCGTCCTGTGGAGCACGGTGCAGCCATGGGCTCCTCTCGTCCCACTGTGGGTCTGGAGTCCATACTAATATCAATGTTCTCCTTGCCTCTGATTTGCCAGCTGCACCATTGCCCCAGATAAGAGAGCTGACCTTAAGTAAAGTCACTTCACATAAAGGTTAAGTATGTAACTACTTGACCCCGTGTGTCCTGGCCAACCAGTTTAAAGCAACATGAATCCAAAACCTTTACTGACTGCTGCCCTGCCTTACTGTATAAATCCTCAGTGCCTTTGCTTGTCCTAAGTTTAACTGATGTTTTAGTTGAATTGCAGAGCTGTGACATACGCAAACTACTGAGTGAATGAGTGAAACAAGTTTATGGTTAATACCTAGAAATCGATATGAAAGTTTTTCGTTGTGAAAGGTTGCTACACAAAAACATGGCTAAAATATGAAGTCTTTGGTTTGTTTTTTAACTCTGGTTGGTATCAGAATCACTGCAATGTCAGCTGCTTTGAAGCTAGGTCTGCAGCAGCAGTTCAGTCTGGTGAGGAGTGATCCCCCAGAATGCTCTAACTCGGTGCCGTTGCCTTGCAGCGCCCACGCCCAGCCTGGGGACGCCTGCGGTGTGGTTGGGTTGGCTTTCAGCGGCCCCCAGATCCAGAGTGCCACTGTCCTGCTGGACCAGGATGTGGCTGACGAGAGGACGGCGGAGGCGGCCATGCAGCGTCTCAAAGCGGCCAACATCCCCGAGCACAACACCATTGGCTTCATGTTTGCCTGCGTTGGCAGAGGATACCGGCATTACAAAACCAAAAGGAATATGGAAGCAGATGCATTCAGGAAGTTTTTTCCAAATGTGCCCCTCTTTGGCTTTTTCGGACATGGGGAAATAGGATGTGATCGAATAGTTACTGGGAATTTCGTGTTAAGAGAATGTAATGACATAAAGGATGACCTGCTTCATGGTTATACTACTGTAATGACTCTAATTCACCTTGGTTCAACTAAAGCAAGCCAAGCATAAATAAGGTTTAATGCTTCAGTGAGCTGTTTGTTTCATTTCAGAGAGCTGAGAAGTCTGGAAGAGTGGACATCTTGCAGTCAAAGCCCCTTCCAAAACATAAACATCATTTTGGTAATGTTACTGAGTCTTGTAGTTGCAATAGAGTTCACTGTAATATCTGTGAGAAAACCTTGCTTTTTTTGTAATCCCCTGTACACATCAGAATTGCAGGAAATTATATTTGATGGAATTCTGCATTTGAAGAAAGCCTCTTTCTTCCAAAATGAAAATGGTTTCTACACATTGTAGAATACACTGAATTGGAAGGGACCCATCAGGATCGTTGAGTCCAACTCCTGGCCCTGAACAGGACACCCCAAGAATCCCACCCAGTGCCTGAGAGTGTTGTCCAAACTCTTGTTGAGCTCAGGCAGGGCTTGGTGCTCTGGCTGCTTTCCTGGGGAGCCTGTTCCAGTGTCCATCCACTGTGGGTGAAAAGCTTTTCCTGATATCCAACCTAAACCTCTCTGACTTAGCTTCATGCCACTTCCTCAAGTTCTGGCACTGGTCATGAGAGTGAGGTGATACTGATGACCACAATGAGGACTCCCCTCAGTCTCCTCCAGGCTGAGCAAACCAAGTGTTGTCAGCCACTCCTCATAAGGCTGCCCCTCCAGATCCTTCACTTCCTCATGGCATTCCTCTGGACCCCCTCTAAACTTTATGTCTTTTATACAGAGGTGCCCCCAACTGCCCCCAGCACTGGAGACTGTCCCAGAGCAGGACAGTCCCTCCCTGGCCTGGCTGGCAGTGCTGGGCTTGATGCCCCAGGACATGATTGGCCCTCCTGGGTGCCAGGGCAGGGCTGGCTCAGAGCCAGCTTGGCACTGACCCCAGCTCCCTTCCCAGAGCTGCCCTCCACCCTCCTGCTCCCCAGTCCCTACACACAACCAGGGCTGCCCGTACCAGGTGCAGAATCCAGCACTTGCCACTGTTACATTTCATGTGGTTGGTGATTGCTCTTTGTCAATGTCTCTGCAGGGCCTCTGTCCTTGAGAGAGTTGACAGCTCCTCCCAATTTAGTGTCAGTGGCAAACCCAAACCCAAATGTAGAAAGAAACTACTTTGATGTGCTTAATTTATGCATAAGGCACTCTAGAAAAACTACTGATGCATTAAATCTACCATTTCCTGGATTTTATTTCTAGAGAGATGCAGATCTTTCCCAGAGTCCTATTTACAAAACTGAAGTTTTACTAGATAAAATCAATGAAAATCTTTAGAGAAAAGTAACAAAGTACTTGTTAAATAAACACAGAATTATGTCAAAGTACCTTGCCTTCTATTCTTAGAGAAAAATCTCTTATTTAAAGATGTCCAGCTAAAATTTCAGCTGGGCTCACCACCTTGAACTGAATTTCAGTTGCTCAACTGTGTGACTCAAAATATAGTGGTTGCCTCTTCTCCTGTAGTGTGATTGCAGTCTTTTAAATCCAGAGTGCTTAGAAATGTCTATCAGTCTTTCAGTTTCTATAGGAAGTTTTTTGCACTTAATTTTGGAATTGTGGGACACACAAGATCTGGCTATATTATATTTATATAGAGACTTTAAGTAAGACTTGTGCTTCTGCATGTTTTTCCCGTGCTTTTACATCAGTCACCTGTTTTGATTGCTGCAGCTGGCATGCAGTACCAAGTAAGTAAATTCAGCATAGTCTCAGTATAGCTAATAATATATTTGCTGCTTTTTAAATTCTTTCCTCCCATTTATTTTCACGTAGTAATAGAATGACAAGAAAATAAGTTTGATTTTGCACCATAGCACCAGATTTCTAAATGCTAAATCAAGCAGCTGGCCCATTTTCAGTGTAGTAAAAAGAAAATACCTGTATGTTGTACAACAAAGTAACAAGTTTTGCTTTAAATGTACCAAGGAAGATTTCAGTAACCAACTTTATTCCCATGTCTAGTTACAACTTTTCCTGAACTTGGCCTAGCAAGCTTTAGTAGGGGTGTATCTGTCCTGAGCATTAACTGTTGGTGTTAGGTGAGCACAGACAGCACTTCCCCATGGCTCTACTGATGATGGGGTTTTTAATTAGAAGATACTGTGAGCTGTGAACTCCCAGTGGCCATCTGTGGATGGAAGATTAGTAAGTGTGGGTGTGACTTGGACAACATTTAGTTATTTCATTTAGAGGGAAACATATCTGGAAGTAGAGTGTGGTTCAATTTGCAGAGAAGCCCCTTGCTGGGAGGTGACTGTGTTATTTTAGCATAAACAGAATGTCACAATTGGCCCTTTGTGTGTGCATAACCTTCATGTTTAACAGGACAGAAAGGAAATATTTCATTTCTGTAATGCAGATAGGATTCCTGGTGCTGCCAGCCATGCTGAGCAGCCTGGGAGGGGTGACTGGTTGCTGTGTTAGAGCAGTGGAAGGGTGATCAGCCACGTGTCCTCAATAGAGACTGTGCCAGAAGGGCAGAGAATGATGCTGAGCTCAGACAATGGCACAGCTAAACCAGAAGCACCAGAGTGCTCTGCAGGGGACACTCAGCAGGTCCTGTAGCTGAGGAAAAGCTTCAGAGATAAACAGAGTGCAGAAAAGTGAGTGGATGGTGGGAGGGTCTGCATCAGAATCCAGGAGTCCTCTCCAGCATCAAGAAGTGTGAGATGAATACCCTGGAGCCATGCTCATAGCTGGAACCACTGGAATGTCTGTCCCAGGCCACACCATGCCTTCCATGTGACAGGGAAATGGTCTAAGTGATAAAACTGCAACATCTGTGATTAAAGTGTTTTGCTATCCAGATTCATTTTGCCTCCATGCTGTTATTTGCTCTTTAACCACAACAATCCCTGAGAGAACCCCAAATATATTTACTTACAAGATGCATGTACCAAAAGGCAGAGATAATTGATAGAAAGTTTTTCAGTGCCAAAATTTATACTTCTGTCTCAAAAGAAGCCAGCATGAGGTTTTAAAGTGTGTAAAGTTACTTAAATGAGTATTCAGCTGTTGAGGCAAATGTAAATAGCAGGACTACTCAAAAGATTTTCTCTACACCTGTGTTTTTATACATCTTCAGATTGTTTCTTTCAGAGATAAGAAATCTCTGTTCTGAATTTCCTCTCCTTTCAATTAATGAATTTTCTCAGCTAATCTTCCCTTCAATACAACCTTATAAATCCCATATAATGACCTGCTACGTAATGTGCCATTATGGGAACATATCTGATTTTTTGCTGGTTTCTGCCTCCAGTGCTAGAAATAAGTTGAAAAAAAACCTGTTCAGTTCACATTTTCTATGCCTCTGACTAACCAGACATTCTCTTTGTGTTTTGAAGGCAAAAAAAAAAGACATGGACCATGGCAGATGGCCTCTTTTTGTCTGAGTAAGAGAATCCTGTAAGAGACCAAAGTGTGGTATATAATATATCAGTGTGATCAACAGATGCTTATGTGAACAAAAGAAATAAATCTTTGGAGAGGGCAGCATTTCTTTCAGCCAAGATACCTGTCTCAATAATAGTTTGTGTCAAAAATTGACCTGACGAACAAAATTCCTGATTTCTGCTATCTGAAATGTCAACTGGAATATTCAAGGTAAAGTTTGAATTTCCCTCAGTAGTGAGATTTTCAGAAAAAAGTCAGACAAAATTAAAAACCATCAAGGAAGATGTCTTGTTTAGTATTACAAATGTACACTAAACTTTGCCTAAAAAATTTTAACCATTACCAATCTCTTTTCTTAATATTTCCCTTTTATTCTAATTAAAATAGTGTGCCAGGAACCTGGGCAATAAACTCCCAATGGTACCTCCTGCTGATGTTCTGTTACAATTAAAAAAAAAAATAAATAAAAGTAAGTATTAGCTGGGAGAAAGGTTAGGGTTTTCCCCCTACATGTGGTAAGGGTGTCTGGAACAAGCCAAATTCAGGACATGTATCACAAATATCAATTTTGAAACTACTGACTCAAGATAGGCTTCAGCTCCTCTGGGGAAATCCTGTGAAAAATGAAAAACCCCTATCAAAAATTCATAATATCACCTCACACTAAAATCCTGTGATATCTCATATTCTCTGTGCAGTGAAAAAAAATGTATTTTTTTTATTTCCCATGTAGTAAAACCCAAGATTATCTCATGCATCTAGCTGTGCATTATTGAAAAGCATAAAAAAATCTCACAGAATTCAAACATAAATTATAGTGATTTCTGTATAATTGACAGTTTTAAAAGTACATAGAAACTCCATTAAGTGCAACTGTTTAAGTCTTAGATGTCTTCTCCAATATGTCAGCCTCCTGTTTCAGTCAACTTTCTTCTCTCATCTTGCTTACCGTGTCACCCTCTACAATTTAGATTCTTAGGGTTGCTCTGCATGTTGTTTCTCCACCATTCTTCCACTCTAATGCTTTAGGCTGTTGTTATTTCTGAAAAATAAAACATTTGACTTTTAGTTACAAAAACTTCATCCCCCACTTGCCTTGTGGAGTCCAGTCATTTAATTTTAAACTGTACTCACTGTTGCAGCCATTGCTGCTTGTAGTTTCAACTAGGTTGGCACCACACTCTGAAGAACTTGTCCTTGGAATGGAAACTTTCCTGACCATAAAAAACAAAAAGGAAACAACAGAGAGAGAGAGAGAGAAAAATACACACAGAGTGAAAAATTTATCAGGGAAGAGACAAATTAATAGAATGATTTTTCCATTGGAAAAAGTGTCATGGATCTTCTCCAATTAGTTTGTAATTAACACTCATTGCTTTTGAGAATCATGTGTTTGAGGGAGAAGAACAGAGATCAGAGGGCAGTACAGCATTTGGAACTACATGGCTTCTCTCCTGAAGGTAACTGTTTGTCTGATTTCTTAGGTCTTTATTTAAAAAATTGGTAAATAGCAGAGAATTATTTATCAATTCTCTTAGTGTTTGGAAACAATGTGAAATTTTCCACATTTTGTTGAAGAGAAGCAAATCTTGTAAATGGAGCTGATCATTTGCTGTCTAGTTCCCTTTCCTTTAATAGTAATCAGACACCTGCTCTCTTGAGAAGAGTCATGAGCTATTCTCTGTTGTGTCCAGTTTGTGTCCTGTGGTGATGTAACTCCTCCACAAAGTCTGTTGTCTTGGACAGCTTAAGTGGCTTTATTCCTAGACCCTGTTGTTTTGGCTGGCTGAGTTCTTGTTCATCAATATTACACACACTTTACAGGTCATTTGGCACTTTAGCATGCACTTACAGTGAAATATAGAAATTAATTGCAGATTTATTTTGGTTTTTCCTAGGGTTTGCTCTATTCCTCTGAGCTATATGTGTGGCATTTAGGCTTATCTATTGCTTTTAAAGAAAAGCTGGCTTATGTGGCATCTCTTCTCATCACCTTTCTTATTCTTCTTCCAGTAACCCTGGCACAATATGTTTGTGGAGGAAGAAGACCAGATGGACGTGGTGTGATAGGTGAATTGCTGGAAGCAGAATGTGCCATTTGTTCCTCAGTAGCAGTGTAATCATAGCAGGGGGTTTGTACACTTCCCTGTTTTGCCCATGTCAGAAGGACAGGAGGCTTTATCAGCACTGCTTGTTGGAGAGGGTGGGGGGTTGTTGTAAGATGGAGAGCAGCTAGATCTGTGTTTGCCCTGCCTCCATGTGCTCTGCAGACTGGAAAAAATAAATCATCAGCTGATAAAAATGTGATGACTCAGTTAAATGCAAAAGGAGAATTATTTCCCACTGTTCACCCAGAGCTTTCATGTGCAGCCCTACTCTTTTATGGAATACTTTCACTGTAAGTAATGATTTCGTTTTATAAGCAGAGCAATGCAACCTCCACCCTTGTATGTTGAATGGATTTGTTTCTAGGGAGCCTGAAATGCACTTGCACATGCTTGGTCCTCAAATCTGCCCCAAATAGCCTAAGAGAAAGAAAACTTGGAAAGGAGGGAGATACAATGATACAGACAAGAAAATAGAGAAAACAGAGCACTGAGTTCAATATTCCAAATTATTTGATGTATAATTTTAGGAATTTAGTTTCCTTGTCCTGAACTTCAATTAGTATCTCCTCTTCTGCACCCCTCCAGATTACATTACTGTTTATTCTGAAACCCCACTAGAACCCTCTGCTGAAAGAGCCATGGAAATGCTCACTAATACAGGATCAGGAAAAAGACTTTCTGGTCTCTGATTGTGGATCAAAAGTCTTTGTTAATAAAGTGGAGCAGTGGAAACTTTAGCACAATATGTCTGTTAACATTTTAAACTTAACATATCCTGTCAGGAGGCCAAATGAAAGATGATGCAAGCTCTCAGCTAACCCTTACAAGCCCTAACTCCACCCTCTCCTAAGATAGAGGTGATGGATGAAGTATGAGGAAAAAATGGAGATTAATGGCAGCTCTTAGCAGTAATACTCATTCACTCAGCTGAAAAGAGGGGAGTAGATTAAAGTATCCACTTGAGACTCCTCATGTGTTGGTCACTTCAGCCAAGAGATAAGGACTTAGTAAAGTGTTTCATCTATAGATGAGTTCTCTTGCAAGTGACCATCCTACATCAGCCTCTGAGGTGTAAAGGTAAGACAATTTTAGCCAGTTAGGTTCTTTTACCTGTACTAAAGAAGTTCATAATGGTTTTATGAGATTTCCCAAATTAGTCTGGTGTGTAAGATGGGGTTAAAGGACAACTATGTTATAACTGAGTTGTTGCCCTTTTTATTTTGCTAATAGTCACTACTACTTGTTCTGCCAGTCAGGTAAAGTGTGAGTAAAGAGAAGTTGATGTTCTAACTGTCTAATAACAGAATTTTCACAGACCTGTCATTGCTATCACTCTAAGCTTCTGTACTTGGACCATAAAACTCAATAGATTGTCTCCAGCTTTCCCCCAATTTTACTGTATGTGAAAGAAAAGGGATCTTTAACACATTACTCTCTGAAGACTTTTTTTTTCCTTTTCTCAGAGACAATTTTACTTCTAAAGAAATACTGTCTGTATCTCTATGAGACTTGAATGAATTTTTCTTAAGCTAGTTTAAGCTGTATTTTGTTCTAATAAGTTTATAGTAATTTGCAAATGTTTTTAGCAAACAACTGCTGTGGCATTCCATGGCTAAGCAAAATTAATTTAATTAAAATTGCTAATGTGGGGGGTATCCTTTACAACAAGGGATTTTTTTGTACCAACTGTTTTATCAAATGCTCTCTATCTCTTCTAAATGCATTCAGCTGTGGGAGAAGCTGGCATTCAGTGGGTTTCCATGACAGCAGCTGAGGTAAAACCAGACCAGCTATTCCAAAGGTCGCTCATTGAAAGGCACAGATCAGAAAAGTTGATTTGGCAATGTGATCATGGGAGCACAAAGAACAGAATTGCAAGAACCTTTGGTTATCATAACCTAGGAGAAATGCAGTATAGGAGCAAAGAAAAGATTGTGCAAGTCTGTGATGGTAAAGAATTACAGGGGCTATAAATTGCCTTATAGAGAGACAGAGAGATGCATAAACACATATTATTGGTATATGGCAAAATGAGTTCTTACAAAAAGTGCTGTACTCTAAAAATAAAGAGGGGACACAGGTGCATTGCACAGGTGCAAAATAGAGAGGGCATTGCAAGTGAAGATGATAAGTTTGTTTGGGTTTGCTTTAAGTGTAGTGATATAGTTACAGCATCAAATAGTTGCCTCAATCCCAGTAAATCTTTGTGTTTTCATTCCAAGTCCTAATGTGCCTAAAATGCTACTAAAACCAACCCTGCAGCATTTCCTGTCTAGCACTGATGTTTGCCTTCTACTCAAACCTGGATCATCCTGGACAAATGAGTAAGCTCTCTGAGTTGTCCTAAATGCTAGTAAACATCTACCTGGAAGTATTCTTCAATTTCATTCTTTCCTTAGTTTTCCTTTTTAGACTGGGAGTGGTAGAAGAATTAGGAGCTAGTGGCACCAGCTGCTTCAGTTATCAATTCAGTAGGAACAGTTTCTGATCCCCAAGCACTTTGTTAATTTACCTCTACTTCTCTGTCTTTGGACTAATGTTTTAAAATGTTAGCACTAACTCTAGATGGACTGCAGAATCTCAGACAGGGGTGTACTATGGGTGTTTTTTACAAAGCAGCTGTAAGTAAGAACTTAGAACTGAGAAAACTTCAAGCCAGGAAGTAAATATTACAAGCAACAAGTTGAGACATCCCCATTCATTATGCTGAATAACCATACAACCTTATGGATAATTCATTACATACTTTACATTCAAATAATTAGTACATGATTACCAGAAGAAATTTCTACTTGATTGAATAGCTTCAGCCTTATGAATCACTTTTACCTGCAAAAGAAGTAGAATGCTCCAATTACAAGAACTCCTAGAAGAAGAAGGGAAGCCAAGAAAGCTGCAAACAGGTCACCTTGTGTTTGGGATTTGATGCTGGGCAGCAAAACCTCCTCACAACGAGCTCCTGTGTAATTCTCAACACACCTGGGAAACCAAGTTGTATTTGGATTAGATGGTAGCTTGTCATCTACAATGAAAAGCACAAAAGGCTTCTTCTGGGTAGAGAACTTGTTATGACTCAATTCAAAGGTTATATTTGCTTCACAGCAAGTTTTCTTACAGAATTTCCTCTCACCTTGTATTTCTGGAACAAAGGGGTTTAAGCAAGTTGGGCATTAAGTTTACATTCTGATCCATACTGCTTTTATATATTAAATTAAATATACTCATCACTGACAGATTTAATTAATTAAGCCTACTTCTTTAGTGTTAACTGTCATCCCACTGGTTCACACACAGCAGTCATGCTTTCTTTTCCCTGTTTCAGGTAACTCCCTGGCTTCCTTTGTTGAAAATAGCAGTGTCAGCTAAAGAGATCAAGGAAATGAGAATTCACTGAGGCACAGTACAGCTTAAACTGCAGAAGTGGTTTATGCAGTGTAATATTTCATGCCAGAACATGCTACATGGTTGGTGAATAACCCCCTCTTGGAGAGACCTATCTAGAAGTCTTCTCTACTATGCTTATTTTATGTGTTGAGCTTCTGAAAACCTCTTCTGAAGAAAGGATTAAAACAAATACGGTATTTTACCATGGTAAAATGGTATGATATTTTAGTAAAATTAAATAAAATTAATAGCTTAGTAATTAATATTCAGCCAAAAATAGGTAGGTTGAAGTTACACTAATCTTATGTATTTTGCACTTATTCTGCTAAGTTTTCTTAAGGAATTGATTTCATTGCAGAAAATGGGAAGCACTTCTTTCAATATCTAGATTCTCTGTGTATTTTTTATACATGTAAATTTGATTCTCTCTATTTGTATTACTAAAGATCTTGCTCCTCCTTGCTATTTCTGGCACTGAAGTCATAATAATCTGTGACATAAGCAATTTCAGGCTCCAGCTGAGAAAAATGGGCTAAACTCTGCAACATACTTGAAGTTCTCAACTGCCATTGGCAGCTGCAAGGTATAATTTCAGATGAGGGGTAAGAAGGTGGAGAGGGGAGGAACTGCCAAAAAAGAAGAATGTTTAGCATATCTAACTAAGACCAAAGGATCCCTGTGAGTTTTCTGACATGATGCCTGATCCCACTACACTTTCTGTAGGTTACAGACCAGTATTTCAGTACTGCTGGCCTAAACCACTGCACAAAGAGTTACCACCCTTTTATTTTAATTCTTTGTCTTTGGAAATATAATAGAAGATTTAGGCACTAAAAAAAGACATCTAATTATCATCATATATTAAAGCTCTGCAACTGATCAAACAGACAGCATTTACTAAGGACAATCTGAAGCTTTTCAAAGTCATGATGTTTCACTGCTGGGAGAAGCAAGGGTAGGCAGACTGCTCTGATTGCTTGAGATAATGTTCCAGATATTTATTCTAAGTGTAGTGGCTTTTCAGTGGCCTATTTCTGAAATACTGTAGAATACTTTAAGAATAGAAGTGTAGTTTGAGTGGGGCATTGTTCTCTAGCAAGTGAGAGAGAAATGCTTTGAAGAGCTGAATAGAGTAACAGGGAAAGAAAATGGAATAAGAAATTCATAGGAGTATTCTTGAATAGCAATGAAAACTGGAGAATAATGCAAGGCTAAAATGATACAGGAAGGAAAAAAATAGGTTTTGGCATCAAATTAAGGCTCATGGAAAAGTTCTAAAGTGTAAAGGGAGTAAGTCAGTAGCCTAAAGAGCAGAATATAGCAGGAGGAAGATAAGACAGTCACAGCTGCAGAGAGCTGCCCAGAGGATCAGGTAAAGGGTAAGGGTTACTGAACTGCTGTGATGCAGGAGAGTGAGTTGGTGTGAACAGTGCATGGGAGCTGCAAAGACAGGAGGAAAAGAACTGGGAATGTGTTGACAGCACAGCAAAAGGGTCACTGAGATCATAGCACTTCCTACAAAACAGAAAACAGAGCCAGATGCTTAAGGTAGTCACAAGTCTTAAGGAGGGAAAAGAGCTTGAAGGCCTAAGATGGTAAGGGGAAAACTATAGTGATATGAATCCAAGGTTACAGCAAAAAGAAAAGCCTATACTAAAGAAGCAAATGCCTAACTTAAGACATCCTGGATGCTGAACCTTTTAATTCTGCATGGTTGTAACAAAAACAAGTTGTAGAAATATGACTAGCTGGTTTGCCAGTATCTGTTTAACTGTGAGCAGTGCATTAGGGATTACAAAACTACCCATCCATTTTCTCTAAACTTGCTGGAAGTTATTCCATGCTACCTAGAAAATGCTGTCACATAACCTAAAAATTATGTCGGTTTTCATAGAAACAGGAAAATTAAGATGAGGTGTCTTTGGGTTACATTTTAATAATAAAATTATAGCTAATGTGACCAAGCTGTGCTACAGTTATGGCATTTCTGAAAATCCAGATATTCAAATATTGGTTTGAATAAGCTTTTATGAAGTTACCCTTCCTGATGTACAAATAGGTAAAGGCCTATGTTAAAGATAGAAGCAACTGATGCTTAAAGACAACCAGGAAAGGTTTCTTCTGCAAGTCCTTTGCTAAAATAGGTGAGAAAGAAACTAAGCAGACTTCAGTAATTAGCAGTGGAATTCTCTCAGACCTGCTTATCCTGTTGCACTAGGAAAGCTCCAATAATTTCAGTGGAGTTACACATGCAGTGACTGCAAGCAAGACAGAAACAGTCTCTAAGCAGCATGTGGGCTGTGAACATAACCCAGAACCTTGGTGTCTGCGCAGCCTCAGTCTTACTGTACACACCTCAAAAGCCAGGGGCAGCTCTGTTTATCCTGTTTGTAATGGATGCCCAAAGCAGCACAGCAGTTAAGAGCAGCTGCTGACATGGCAGGCACTGCTGCACCTGCACCTGAATGAGCTGGGGCAAACCCTGGAGGAGCCTGGAGCAGGAGGAGGAGCTGCACTCACTGTGTTTGTGGTCCGTGGCAGGTGTTGCTGGTGCACATCACCTGCAGGCTGTTAACCTGCTGCTGCTGCTGCACATGACCCTTTAAATGGCCCTGATGTGCAGCATTCCAGAGTTGATTCTTAAAATGGAAAAAAGGTCTTTCCCCCTCTAAGGAAACTTAATTTCTAATTCAGACTTGAAAGACAGCAGACTTCAATGTTTGAGGAAAATCTGTGACTGAAACATCCCATTTTCAGCTGGCATCCAGATTTCTGCTCTCCTAGATGGCTGCACACACACACACACCCACACCTCCTGTCAGATGAGATGAGCCAGCTTTAAATGTTGTATACACATGTCCCATAGGAGCTCCAGACAAAACACCAGCATATGGAAAGAAATCCATAGAATCTTTCAGCACAGGGTATTAATCACATCAGCATCAATGCAAGGGGGAAGAAAATGCACTGCATTGGATAAGATGTCAGGAGATGACCAGCAGGTGTGCAATTACATTGATCCTTTACAATCTGATTAGTAAGTAAAACATAACAGCCTTGCAGTAAAAGGGGCATCACTGCTGTCTCCTTTCAGATGCTGCTTGTTGGACACTGCAATGATCCTGTGGCACTGGGATTTAGCAAGAAGGTGAAGTTTCTTTCTTTGCCAGACTCTAAGGTGGGCATCATAAGGAAGTAGAATTCGAGTCAAATATGCAGATTCTCACTGCTTTGCATTATACTATCAGGGTGTTGACTTTACTTTTCATTTAGTCTTCCTTTAGTCAGAAAAATTTTGGATACTTCTCGGTATAAAAACTATTTCCATGTAAATACAAAGCTCTGAGCAGAAAAAGATGAGAAATTATCTGCTTGTCAATGCAATTCAGATTACATGGCTGATAACTTCAAAATCAACATAATCTTCAGTCTGTAGCAGATTCCTCAAAGTTGTCCTAATACATACAGTCTAAGAACATCTAGTAAGTATGGAAAAGAATTTAGAGCCAAAGTGAATAAGCAACAGCAAAATTAATTGTACACCTGAGCAACTCTTTAAAAAGTTTTGCATTTAGAGAATTTTCAAAACTGTTACTCTCTAGACACTGAGAGTAAAAAATAAAATGCTCCTACTGGAGAGAAGTTGAAAGAAAGGGTTATTCTTTTCTAAAACAATGGCTTATTCTCCCCTCCCTTAGCTATGTGTTTTTATGGGAAGGTTTCCCTATCTAGCAGTTATATTCATTTGGATTGGTAATTGTTTTCAAACACATAAGAGAGTGTTGCATTTTATATCTTATGTTCCATTAAAAAGAAATCCTAATTACTGACTCTTTTTAGCTATACTTTTGGTGTGTATTCTAACTTTCATTGCTACCTTTCAAGCCAAAAGCAGAACTGAGAAATACTTATTGGTCAGTTTGTTTCCAAAGAATCTGAGGTACATTAAAGTGTATTTTTGGAGGCAGAGAAAGAAGAAAAGCTCAGATGACTGGGAAGCCCTTCCCTGGCAACTTGTAGGGTGCATATTCTGAAGGCTGAAAGCACAGCAAGTGTGTGACTTGTGGGATGTTTGAAAGGGGAATGAAGGGCCCATGGCACAGAGCAAGGCAAGGAGGGAGCATACAGAAAGTGGGAGAAGGAATTTGCATGGCGTTTACTGGATTACTGTAGGAAAGGTGGAGGAGAGATTTCATCGGGATGGAAGCAAAGGAAGGGAAAGAGATATCCCTGAAGATGCACAGGCATTTCAGGAAGATTTGCAAGGCCTGCCTGTGTCTCTTGCAGTACTTAGCCCTGGGCAGAGTAAGATCCCTGTCTCAAAATAAGTGTTCACTGTTAATTTCTGTGTGTACTGCCCTCTGAAGCAGAGCTCTGTGCATGTGGTCTTATACCATCCGCATTTTGCTTGAAATACAGAAAGAATGCTCTCAGAAATCTGCCAAGTATAAGAAAAAAATGGGAGTACCAGAGCTGCCCCTCAGAACCCAAAATCTTCACTTAATTCTGCAGTGCATTAATTGGTGATTATGGGACAGCTGTGCATCAGGTGCTGAGGCAAACAGCTTTCTGCCTTGTTCTTTATGATGCACCTGAGGCAGCTGCTTTTCCATCCTCCTCTGTCCTGCTGCCTGTTTGTTTAGTTCACTTGAGTGTTCCTGGCTTTGAAGCTCATCTGGTTCATGGTGACACAGCTGTGCCTTTTACTGCTGAGAACATGAACTCCTTGTTGGGAAAGCACTGAGGGAAGATGGCAGCTGAGCACCTCCTGTTTTAACACATGTCAGCTGTATTTAAAATCTGCTACTGTTGCACATGGAGGGGTCAATTAATGTTCAACAGATATTAAATCTCTGCCTTCTATGTATCTATTTGTGATTGATAAAAACCCCCTGAAATTCCAAAGGTAAACAGCAGCTCTTCATTTTTAGCATGCTACAAAAACACATATTGCTAAAGAATGATGCATTTTTCTGAGTCACATGGTGAAATTACTTCCAATGATGTTGCACAGGGTAATCTGGACTAACTCTGCTGAGCACAACGCATTTGTGTGACCAAGTACCATGGCAAGGCAAATGTGTTTTAAGGTATTTTTACAGTTTGCTCGTCTGTTCTTTCTCCAGCTCCTCCTTTTAATTAACAATCATTCAGCCCTTGAGTCTAAAAGTGCTTTGAGTTTCCTTTCAGTAGGACATGACCATTTGAGAGCACTGGGGGGCTTTGGGTGGGATTTGGAAGAGACCTTCATCAAAGAAACTGCGCAACTGTGTGATGATGCCAGTCATGAAGTTCCAAAGCACCAAATATTTTCTGAATTCTGCTGAATAGTGATGCATTTTTTCTGTTGTTTCTATTCACATCATTGCTGATTACTAAGATATCTGTGTGTAAACAAAACCTTTCTCATCTATAATTAGCCTTCTCTGACTGATTAAGGAACATGCTTAGAATGAGGATGTGCTTAAATAGAATGCTGCTATTTAAACCCATCTAACTTCATAATCAACCACTAGATACAGAAAAAAACAGTTGATAACTTAAATGCAATAAGATTGCCTGAGTATAACAAAAATGCTCTTAAGATGTTACTTTTCTGCTTCAGCAGATTATAAAATCCTAAAGTACCTGAATTGAAAATTACTTCATTTGGAGCTGTTAAGGTGGAAATTATCTATGCTGACTGGTTTGTGCTCCTGAAGAATGAATTTTTCTGAGTATTTGTTACTTCATATTTATAGTTATTGCATTGAATACAGATTCCTTGTTACACAGTCCTGTAGTAGTTGAGAGGGTACTTTGAAATTGTGTAGCAGCTGCTCTTCAGTTTAACCATTCATTTTTCATTTATGTACAATAATACAGGATTCCTTCTAGGAAAAAACCATATATATTTCAAAATGTTTTACTTTTTTTTGTGTAGTATTCATTTTATATTGCATAAGCTTGCAAGGTTTAGCACATAGAGTAAATCATCACACAGCACTTCAGAGCTTTAATCTCACTTCTGGATCTGATTCATTGTGACACTGAACAATGACAGTGATATGCTGTGTATATTTTTCAGTGAGCATTTACCACAAAATTGCCTCTTTTCTCCCTGTCTAAGTAAATGAGTTCACGTGCTTGAGTTTAAGTATTTAGATTGAACTGTACCAAACAAAAAGTAATATTTTAATTAGGCATCTGGGAAAAGATGTTGTTTCCTTCTTCACCTGTTTTATCCAGTTATCATTAGTTATAGCTCAAGACAGAAGAGGGAACAAAAGTTGCCATAGAAGAAAAAAGATAATATCCTTAAGTGTATCTAATATTTGTCTGAATGCCTATTTTTTTGTTAAGCAAACACATTAAATCAACCATAAATTATTTTGATGAATAACTCAGAATTAGTAAATGCAGGACTGTGAACAGTGACAGTTTTATGGAGCATCTTATGTCTTGTCAAACCAGAGAATAAAAAGATAGGGCAGTATTTATGCAGGAAATGTATCCACATGCAAAACCAGGGAGTGTTTCTTTTCCAGTTTGCTACATGGGCTTCAGCAGGAAGAATGGTTCTGTCATGGAGTGTTTTAAGAAATATCTCTATTTGCTGCCTTGATGTTTCTTTATCAAGCAGTTCTTGGCTGTCACTATAAAGCTGCTCTTTGAGTATTTCAGCATGACTTGAAGAACACAGTAAGTCTTGAATTACATTAATTTTTTTCCCTCTCAAAATATTATATTATTTTTTGTGTCTCTGCATTTTGATCAGGTCAGGCCATTTTATATTATAAAAATTTTTTGAATATAATTAACTTGTAAGAAAAACTGTACTTTGCCTTTCAGAATGCTTTTCCCACAGTCTATATTCCATGAGGCAAAGGGTATTTTGTTCTTTCTGTATTGTAATAAGGAAATATGGCTCTAATTATAGATATAATCCTGAATGCATATGTAACTGAATATTGTTCCACCTGCCAAGCAAGTATACACATTTCTTTTTCTCATATCACCATGTCTCTGTAAACTAGGTAAGTAATAGGTAATTGGTATTTTCTTTTAGATAATGCTTTAGAAGGGATTCCTTAAAGAAGGAAAATGGAGAAACAGTCTTTAGACAACTACTGTCCAACACTTAAACACAAACTTCAGTTTCACTGACCTGCAGAATGGACTGGATACAGTAGGAATCATATAACAAATCCCTCCATTTAGACAAAAAGATCCATAACTGGTGCCACAGAGTTCTTCATGATCTTAAAAATAAGACCAAAAGAAACACTGAGAAAAACAGACTTCAAACCAAAAAAACCACAAAAATAAACTACCACCCAAATGAAACCAGCCTATGAGCAAAAAAAGGTACAGGTCTTGCCTTCCAGGCCAGCAACACAGAACACTGTTTTGCTGAACAGTTTCATGTAACAATATGGAGAAAAGATCACAAATTTATCACCATATCAGATGTGAAACAGATAAATGGGATGAATAAATCAAACTTTCTCTTGCAGTGAGAAATTCTCCATTACTTCCCTTGCCTCTCATGAGCACTCACACAGTGAGTGCAGTGGTTCACACCATGACCCAGGTGAAGTCTGGTTTCTCCTGTTCAGTGGCACAAAGCACCTTTAGCTGAACTGGCTCCTGCAATAGAGTCAGTGCAGAGGCACCCAGTGCCAGCTAAGGGCCAGGACACTGTGAGGCTGCTCTGGGCTGAAATGGGACCCTGGGACACCCCTGGGCTTCCCCACCCCAACTCTCAATTTCTCAATGGCCAAACAGGGCACAGCCTGCAGCACTCATGTATGGGACTGCTGGCTACAATATCCTTTCCACAGATCTCAAAAAGGCTTTTTCCTAACTCAGTAGGCTTCTTAGATGAATTCTTAATGTGTTAAACACAACTAGGCATTCTGGTAACACCCCAAATCCAGGACACTAATGTTGGCACTTGTAGCAGCACTTGTCCATTTTGTGCTTAAAAAGCACATCTAACTGCACCACTTCACTCTTCCTGAAAGCAATCTAAATTTGGAAGTTGGACTGAATATATTTATGACACATTTAATGCATCAGTAACTCATTTCATATATATGCATCTAATATTTTATATATTTCTTCCATCTTATGAAACCACAGTATCTCAATCAAAACAAAAATAGACCAGTCTTCTGACATCACAAGGGTGATAGTCATGTGTTGCCTCACACTTTAGGTGTTCTTGCTGTTATTTCTCTCAGAAGTTCTGAAAACCAGAATTCTGCTGTGTCACTATTTATGTATAGAAGACATGTTCTATACATAACAGAGTTAAGAGGAATCAAGATTTTAGTTTTCTTATTTGTCCTTCAAGAAAAAGAGTTAGAGTTCCCCTTTATTCCTGCAGAAAAATAAAAAGTAAGAAGTGTGGCTGTAAGACATTCTACCCTAGAGAGACCTTCTACAACTTATCTAAAATAAGCCAGGCTTTTCTAAGAGTGGCAGAAATGCTCAGCTACTTCTACTTCTGTGCAAAAAATCATTGTGCATCCTTTATCCTCTAGGCCAGCTCTACCAATTCTACTCTCCCTTCTTCTCCTACATTCTTTCCTTTCTATGGCAGCACATTGATGCAGAAGTGTGAGTAAGTCCTGACATTACTTTAAGATGAAGACAGTTACACCCCAGGGCCCAAGAGGAATTCAGTTTCATGTTCCTGTTACTGAAGTGCCAGCATCCAAATGGTAACTGGACCTTCTTGCCTGGGTGCAGATAAATTAGGAAGCTGGAGGAGGGGAGAACAAAGGCTGGAAAGATTGTTCATGTTTGACCTTGTTGCACAGAAATATGTGCTCTGTCCTACCTTGTTAGAAATTAACTGGAAATTTATTTTAACTCTGAAGCTCTCTGTGCTTGTCTGCTGGCAATTAATTTACTGCAAGTTCACAATTAAAAGACTTTTAAAATTATTTTGTATGGGTAACTGTACAATTGCAATAGGAATAAAATGGGAATGGGAGAAAACAAGGAGGTTTTTTAACAAGAACTACACCTTAGTTGATTTTCATTCTATTCAAACACAACAGTGGACCTCCTGTGAGAGATTAATTCAGTTGAAGGCTACATCCTTCCTTAAATCAAGAGAGGGCACTGGACACATCAACAGTGTATCAGAATATCTATACAATTTTAAGAATCAAGTGAGAAAAACAAAACTCCCAACTTTGACCTGCTCTCAACTCTGTTAAGCGTCTGAGGGAGTTAACTGTTGAAATTCTAGCAGACAGAAAAGGAAGATGATAGAAGGTGGGCCCTGCAGAAAAATCCTTTTGAACAGCTCACAGAAAGGTTTCAAAGGAATTCTCATGAGAATTAATGAGAATTTGTTAGCCTCCTTAAAATCGTGCCTCGTTGCTTCTATTTCTTCATCCTTCTGCAGAAATAGACCTGCCTCACCCTGGCATAGGGGCACAGCACTGAAGAATGCTAAATGCCTCCAGTCATTCATGCCTTGGGACATCTGTGAGAATGAACACTGTTAAAGTGTGATCTTTGTATCAAGGACCAGCTCTGCAGCCCAACCAGGCATTTCTGCTCTGGCAAAATACCTCAGGCACTTTCTCTTAGGTCTATTAGAAAAACGTGAGAGAGAACAAAAAGTGCCTAGGAAGCCGTTGAAACCTTTTTGATTGTAATTACAGACAATTTTTCTATAGGCTATTTCTTTCTAGAAATAGACTTTTCTTCCAATACTAAGGGGAAAATGGCAACCTTAATTCCAGCAGTAATGAGAAACTTGAAGAAACGTCTATGTCCACATTGATCAGGTACCCCTTTTTTCCATCCACTTGTGCTTTTCATTAATTCTATTTTGTGTTTTAATACTTTGCTACTGATTAGTGAAACTATCTGAGTAACACAGTACAATGTAGACGTTAGAATTATGAAACACAATCAAAGAAATTCAGGAAGCTTTAACACCAAGAAAAAATATTACTAACAAATTGTAATTTGCTACAACACAAAAATAGGTATTATTGTACTCCAGACCTATGATATTGAAATGCAGTAGCTTGCTGCAAATTTCCAAGTTACAGTTCTGTATTTGTAGACAGGAAAGTGTGAGAGCACCAGTTTACCCCTTTAAATCAATAGTCAGTGATGCAAAAGAGTATACTGGAGAATCAGAGGGGGTTCAATACAAGCCAAAACCCAATTACATTAGCATTGGTGAATGTGTTATGATTTTTCATGAGGTAAGTCATTACATTATATTTATCTAAAAATGCAAATTATATGCTTTGAAAGTCAAATGTATACTACAGTCAGACTCCATAATAAAGATAGAGACAAGAGATGATGGGCAATTAAAAAAATACAAAAGATTTAGCTTTAAAATTAATAGAACTCTATCAATGTATGTTGTACATAACATATAAGTGTGTATTTTGATACCACCTTCTATGTGAGAGATTTAAGAGAAGTAGGACACAAAAGCTTCTTCTTTAAAAAATTGGATTTTGGTGGAAGAAGTGAAGAGGAATAAAATGAGGTTGTTTTTTCTAATGCTAGACTGAATACTTTAAACTGACTGAGGTAATAGCAGCCTCTAAATACACTTATGCTTAATTATTCTTTCTGAGGCCATGCAGGTGTCCTGGTTTCAGCTGGGATAGAGTTAATTTTCTTCCTAGCAGCTGGTACAGTGCTGTGTCCCTAAACTGTCTTGTCTGTTTGTATTTAAACTTTTGTAACCTGACTGTCCTGACTTTAAAAAATAACCAAATGCAGGCTCAATATCATCTTAACCCCAAAGAGCCAGGCAGCCTTGATAATCCACATGTAGACTCAGCTGTCTTGCCTAGTCCAGAGGCTAAAATATTGGACTGCTAACACAAGAAAGGGAGAGAGAGGAGTGGGAAATGTTGGCAGAAGGTAAAAGGGTGCTGATGTATGCTCACTTGTAAGCAGCTTTACCCTGCACACTAACCAGTCACACACTGAAATATCAATTTTGATCACAGCAAACACCTCCTTACAGGATTTGTACCACTGGCTGGTAAACTCTGGTGAGGGATGGCATCTCTGCAGAGCAGTTGTGACAGTCCCAGTGGCAGCTATCAAAATCAATGCCACTTCAGTGAATTCTAATGATATAGATGGATGTATCCAAGTAACGACTTGGCAGAAGTTACCTGTTCGCATATTATTCCCACAACAATTTTTGTTCTTGGTCAGAGGCAACAGCACCTAAAGACAAACATGTAAATTAAGCATATAATTTTTGAACCTGGTATCTTTTCCCCCTGAAGAAATAGCTATTGGAATGCAACTTTCAGTGCCTCTGCTAAGACATCCGTTGCACTCTGTCAGTAATGCACTGTTAGATGGAAGTTCCATTAATTCACAGTTAATGGTAAACACTCAAGTCTGCTGTCAAGTTCAGTGAATCCCTGAAGGCAGAATAAAACTAAATTCAGACTAAAGCATGTTTAAACAATGAATATGTTTTAAAAACTGCCAAGCTTATTCAGAATTGTAATACCTGATGCATTTAGGCAGTCTGATTGATTCTGGCTAGCTAATTAGATTGACACTTGCACCTTGAAAGACAGTGCACACAACTGAACCATTCCTCAGACTGCTAATTAGTCAGGTAAGATCTTGGTGGTAGAACTCTTCCATTCCACAAACAAGAACTTTCTAATTTGTCATTTCTCACAGTCAATATGTGTTTCACTTGAGTGTCCCTCATGTCTGGATGTCAGGTGAAATTGTAATATAAGCTGTGAATTTATCAAACTTGTACAATGATTTTTTACATCTTCAATAGAAACCCTCTGCCTGGACAGAAACCAATGTTCACTTGACATTGCTAAAAGAATCTTATTCTGTAGACATGCCAAGTCTATAACCATCTATCCTAGCTATATTCTGTTTTCTTGTTATATAGCCAAGATTTACTGTACCAAATAGGTTACTGAACAAGTCTAACATAATAGATCATTTTGTCATGTTTGCTCTCTTTCTTCAGAGTGTATGCAAAGTAAATACTTAAGCAAACTGTCCTATATTAGAAGAAAGATTTTTTTTTAAACCATTAAATGATCAAATAAACTATCAGCTTTATGATAAATAGTTGCCTATACTGCAGCTTTAACTAACAGCTGGCTTTCTGCAGAGGCCCATTTCAAGAGGTGTAATGCATTTGTACTTACTTTATAAGCAGCTGGTTCTGGTTTTCATGGGACCTCACGTGGCTTCTCTAGCTTTTTACCTGTCCTGTCCATACAGGACAATGAGAACTGGCAGCTCCCTGTGACACTGGGCTGTAACAGCAAGGTCCCCACCCAAAGGTGGCTCACAGCTCCACTTTGCTCTGTGTACAGAAGCAAGAACAATTAACAAGGCATATGGCACTTCAGAACTAAAATCTTTTCAAGAGAAATAAATCAGGAGATTCATTTTTGTAGCAGTCAAGATCTGGATTCTATGTGTGCTGTTAAAAAGGTTTCCAGTTTACACACAGTGCAGTGGGGTGAGGTTACAACAAGGACAAACACATGTACAGAACAGGGTAACACCCCTCATGCTCACAGGATTACTTGCATATTTTTCTAGGGTTACCAGTACTAAAGTTTATTGCTGAATTCAAAATACTCACAAAATGTAGTACATGTAAATAGTATCATATATATATTTTACACTGGCATCAAAAATTGATTTAAATTTGTGTTTTATGGGAGCAAATAGTCTTTGTTCATTTAGTTTCCCTTTTCACAGAAAGCTCCACAAAATTGTATAATATCCAATAACTCTCATAAAAATATAAACAGGATATATAAACTAAATTTCATTACTAGCTCCTGTACTAGACTTAATTAGTTTAATTGAATTGACAAAACAGCTTGAGTTTTGCTACTGCCAAAAGGAGATCTCACATTTCCTCTCCTTCATCTTACACTCAGTATGTACCTCAGTATCCCTGGTGCTGCTCCTGGTCTAAGTTCAACTTTTTCAGAAGATGCTCAAATCCAATGATCTGGCAGAAAATCCCTTAGGGCAAGCTGATGGTTTTCTCCTGCCTCAGTGTGTTAAATGGATGTGCTGTGCAACTCATCAGCTCTTGGGACTAGGACTAATTGTTCCATGTAAAACAAATTGTTTATAAGCTGAGTGTAGAGAGCAAGACAGCTTGAGGAAGGCTGTGGGACTCCTAATAATTTATTTTCAAACTCTGTTGCCTGTGTATTCAAGGAAATAGGAGGTAACAAAGGGAAGGAGTGAAAATACTTCCCCACCAATGTGAAAGCATAACTTTATTTTTTAATCCTTATAATAAGTATCACAATATGGGTCTAAAGATGCCTTTTTAAAGAGGTGCTGCTGACAGCATTCACAGCTTTGACTTTTTTGTTTTTAAGACTGAGAAGTACATCATTAGGTAATGATGTATTTAGATGTTTTTCTCTGAGATGTTGCACTCTGAACAGAAGTTCAAGTATGTATCAGTGTTCTAAAAAGAATAAACTGGACTCTCTACCTCATTAGATAATAAGATGATATATTTAAAGAAAAGAAAGCACTGCAGCAGAAATTGTTGCTAAATTTGATCGTAACTGAGGTGTGTGTGCACTGAGTTCATACTAGAAACACAAAGATCATCTGTGCACCTTTCTTGCACTTTCCAAACTGAGTCTTCCTCCAGATGCAGATATAGCCTATGCTCACAGAAGCTAAAAATCCAATTGTATGAATGCTCAAATGTTTATCTTCCATGTATCTTGGGAGTTTGTGAAATGTTACTTTGTATATCCAGTTAAGAGTATTTCATTCTGAAATATAAAATATAGCCTGTTTTGCTCTGTGCCAGCTTGTTGAAAAATCTTGTCAGTTCTACCCTTTTCCCCTCGTGTTTGTCATCTAAACTGATGCTAAGAATAGTAATGCATTGTTTGAAATGCTTGTACATGAAAGGTAGGTCACCTGTGTATACTGAGATATATTGAAACAAGTCTTGAACTCGTTAGATTTGTCTTTAAATGAACCTGTGTGCTTTACTCCCCATCTATTTAAATCAGAATCTGTATTGCCTCTTGGTTTTGTGTACTTTTACTGCTTAGCTGGCCTTAGCATCCACAGTACCTGTAAATCTTAATGAGCATAGGCAGATAAAATCAAGCACTGAATAATGATTTGGGCTTTGGTTTATGGATCTTTGTTATTCAAACACTCTTAAAATTAATCTCTATATAAACGCTCCCCCAAATTAAAGAAGATGGTTTCAGTCATGTGGCTATTTCAAATACACATTGTTTGTACATTCAGATTAAGTTGCACCTTACAGCTGTCTTTGAGAATGGGATTTTACTGCATTATGTATTCTTTCTAAAATCAGAAAAGGTAAAATCTCATTCTGCCCCAATATTGAGCTCAAATATTTGGTCATGAAAACAATGAAGGGGAAAAATTTTAAAAATTGCTTATCATGCTGATTAAATATAAATTTCCTTCTGAGATGTCCTTGATACCTGTCAAGCAGTCACTAGTCCACACCTCATACTTTCTCCAAGAGCCAGGAACTGTCCTGAAGTCTTGTTAAAAGTAGTCTGTATTTTCTCACCTAGGTATAACTCCTCAGACCTTCAGTGACTGATCTGAGCACAGAAAATCATCAGGCATCAGAAAAAATCCATCAAACTGCCTGAAACTGATGCCTTGTGAAGGCTGGCCTAGAACAGAGGCTAGATGGAGTTAAAGGGATTTTTTAAAAGGCCTCCATGGATCCACCTTGGACATCACAAGAGCCCAGCCAGGGCTGCACCCCAGATGAGCCAAAATGGACAACTGGTCATGAGGGCTCTCACTTTTGTAAGTTCTGCTCCATTTGCATATTGGGGTTAATTGTCCGGTTATAGCTCTAGGTTATGCAGTCCCATCCTTCTTGTTTTTCTCTCCTCAGTCCATGTTGTTTGTGCTCTTGGGCCTGAGATCTAGGTGCTTGTCCTTGGTCCCAAGCTAGGAAAGGAATTGTTTTGTCTCCCTGCTCTGTGAGGACAGCTCACCATCCCTTAGTATCAAGCTCAGAACCACATACTAGAGCAGTACAGAATCTGAAAAATAGAAAAGCTAAAACCTAAGGCAGCAAAACAAATGAGGATCTCTATAAGGAGGAATTCCAGGTGAGATCTTATAACCAATCTGTATAAGAACAATGTTTTACTCAAATTTATACACTGGAAGTTTCTTTTAGCATGGGATAACCACAATATCAAGAAATTCTGACAAAAGACATGAAGCTAAAGCAGATGACAAACAGCTCACAAATCTCAACATGCTTTGGTTGACAGGGTAATTTTTTTGGACACAGTTCTTCAAAATTCTTTCCATTGCAGTTTTCTGAAATGACAACGAATGGCTGAGTCCTCTTATCTTAGAAATCCCTACAGCAAATATTTAGGTTTACATTTTCATTTTTATCTACTAAAGTATGTCTAGGATTAATGACATACTAAAACAGGGGTAAAGCTCTCATCATGGTGTTGAAATTGAAATTTGAGACATTACAGTGAATTTCAGGGGAAACTTCCCATTGCCAAAATTTCTTAAGCAGCTTGCAAACAATTGCAAATTTCCATCTGAAACCCCAGTTCTATTGTATGAGATATTCATACAGACACTGGCAAAGTTGAGGCTTCTGTCCAATGTAACTACCGCAGTCACACAACAGATTTGTAATTTTGAGGTAGAGATTCCAGTTTCAAGCCTGTGTGTGCTTATGTGAGGGGAATTATTAAATTTTACAAGACCCCTGCATTCAAAAAAAATCACTATCAGTCCTGGAAAACAACCCCCACCACTATTCTATTATTCTGTGTGCTTACTGATTTCTTCCGTGGCACTTTTGCTTCCAAGTTTCATCCCTAACTCCCTAAGAAATCAACTGAAATGAATGCAACTTAAAGTTTGTCTCTGCATGGTTAATTTTTATTCATACCTCAGTGGCAGATGTAGTGTCCCTCATCATGTCAGCTCTCAAATGTCAATAATCTCGGATCCAGTAATCAGAAATCAAAAATCCATATTACAGGCTAACATACAAGAGACAGTTTAGCACATGGTGACACAATAAAATAGACCAGTGCCACCTAAATGATCTTGAGTTACTAGGAATGTATGTCATAAGAGTTTAGATATTTACTTTACATGGCAGTCATCAGGAATCAAGTGTAACCAGTCTTCACAATAATGATTTTGATTTTTTAAGATTCATCCATCACTAATAGCTGGTTGATGCTAACATCAGCTGTTCCAAAACACAGGGGAGATAACTGGCAAAACCTGAATTTCAGTTTCTAGTATTTTGTCCATTTAAAGCACCTTAAACTAAAGCACTAAAGAAGTTCTTAACCTTGGGGCGTTTTACTTCATTTTTTTTTGGTGCATTTAATTTTGTATTGAGTTAATTTGTTCTACTTAAACCACGGCTTACCACAGCAAACGGGTATTCTTAACTCTGCTGGTGTAATCTTTCTCAGACATGCACAGGACAATCTGCTGAATCAACGTAATCCCTAATCCGCATGCTGAGATGCTGCAGCTGCTCGCTCCGGTGCCGTTATGTAATGCCGGCCTCCAGGCCCGGGGCAGAGCGCGGCGCTCCGGGCGCTCCCCTCAGGCCGGGCCGGGCCGGGCGCGGCGCGGGGGTCGCGGCGCTGCCGCGGGGGCGGGGCCGGGGGCTCGCGGCTCGTAGTACTCCAGCGCGCGCCGCCCGCCGCCGCGATTGGCCCGGCCGCGCCCGCGTGACGCGCGGCGGACGCGCGCGCGCCCCCTCCGCTCCCGCGGACCGACCCCGCGCGCCGGCTCCGCGTTTCCAAGGCGACCCGGCAGGAACGGCGGGAGGCGCGCGCGGGATCGCGCGCGGGCGGTCCCCGGGTTCCTCCCCGCGCGGCCGCGGGTCCCGCGCGGGGCGCGCGCCGGGCGCTGGCGGCGCGGGTGCCGCGGGCAGCAGGTACGTGAGGGGAGCCCCGGGGACGGAGGCGCGAGCGGGGAGCCCCGGTCAGCGCCGTGCCCCGCCGCGGGCAGCGGGTTCTCGGCCGTGCCCGAGCCGCGGGACCGTACCGCGCTCCAGCGCGGGCGGCGGGTCCGTGCCGTGCCCCGTCGCGGCCGTGCGCGGCTCGGGGATCCCGGTCCCTCAGCCTCCCGGGGCCGCCGCGCGCCCCGCCGTCCCCGGGGTCGGGCTGGGCGGCCCGGCGAGCTCCCCGCGCCGCGGCGGCGGGGGCCGCGCTGGCGGGTGAGCCCCTCCGCGGCGGGCGGACAAAGTTTGGCGGCGGGCGCCGCCTCCCGCCAACTTGCCGGCGGTGGGGCCGGGGGCCCGAGGGCGCTGTGCCCCGGGCCGGCCTGCGGCGGGGCCCGAGCCCCCTCACGCGGGGTCAGCCGAGCCGCGGCCGGGCCAGGGTGGTGCGGGGGTCGCTCCGCCTGTACTGCGGGGCCGGAGCCGCGTTCCGGCGGGGCCGAGGGGCTCTGGGCGCTGAGGGGCGCCTCACGCATCGCGGCCCGGCCCGCGCGCCTCCCGACGGGCCCGGCCGGACAACTTCGGATGTGCGGATCCCGAATACGAACATACGGTAATGCCTGAGCGCGAAAGTTGTTTTTATTGTGTGTGTGTGTGTGCAAACCCACCTAACGGTGGTGCCTCAGCAGTGTCCTCACGCAAGAGTACTCTGTATATGTAAGGTGCTGCATTGCTTCTTGCAAACCTCCTGTCCTGGAATAGCATCATTGCCTGTCCCAACGAGAAAAGGAATAGTAGTTTCTTTTCTAGAGTCGAAATCCAATTAGAGTGCTCTTTACTAGGGAATTTTCGGTTTGCCTTCCTTAAAATGTAATAAACTTAAGAGGCCTTTTTTGTTAGATTTGTAGAGGTGAAATCTAAATTGTGGGGACTGATGAGCTATAATGGGATAGCATGTCAGAGTAACTTTTCTTTAAAATAGTAGTATGTGAGCATGCATGGTTTCAAAGCTTGTTAGTGTGCTGAACTTAGGAAAAGGCTCTGCTAAGTGTATCTCCAGAATTTCTTGGTTCTTACGTGAAGGTTTAAGAGCAAACCGATCTACAAGCTCTGCATTAGAGCATGCACCTGACACCAGGTGTAACAGCTGCAGAAGATTTTATGTGTAAAAGAAGTAAAATGTGTAATGGTGTGGGGGTATTTGCAGCTGTGAATGCAATCAGCAGAGAAGGCTCATTTGTCAGAACACAGGGCACCTCTCTGAGGCACATAGTCAGAAACTGCTGCTTTGCTATGTGACTCTTAGGAATCCTGCTATTTTTGCAACACCTACTACTGGAATTTGAACAAAGAGGGGTAAGCAGCCTCTGTCCTTTTAACATGCTGTAATAACATTGCTAACCAAGCGTGGATTAGATGAAACAGTACTGATAATAATTTTTTGATAGCTCCTGTGAAGATGCTGAGAGTTCCTGCAGGACACTTGTGAAAGGGTTTTTGCTACCACAGTCGTGTTAGGTGGGGGTTATAAATTAGACTGTACAAAATAGTAGCACATAGGTGCTTTGCAAGGAGATGCTGCAGTTAGCATTGTGCACCCAGTATCCTGTATGGTAAAATGTATGTTTGGTGCTGAGAACAATGTCTGTCTTGTGAGGCAGAATACTCTGTGCAGAGAAGGGGAGGAATGCTTCTCATTTACAGAGGATGCAGAATAAGAAGCAAGTGTGTGCTGCTTCAAACGTGTTGTGGTTCCTAAATGCTGGGCAGAGTGTGCCCACAGTCAGCGAGGGGATGGTGTGAGTGAGGAGCCATTCCCAAAGCAATGCATGTACTCATCTCAATTATTCCTCTGTGATTCTGAACAAAGTGGAGTTTTTGCAGCTCTGTCCTGATGCAAAAGTGTTTAGGGCAAGATGCTGTTTTTGCCTGAAGTGTGAGAAGAGGTGGAAGTTGCACACAAATTGAGATGTGGTTATCGGGTAGTAATTCCGCTAAAGACAGCAGAGATGTGAAGCAAGAGTACACATCTGCTATTTCAGCCACAAAACTGGAGCAGTAGGTGAGATAAAGACCTGAACTCGCACTGGTTTATGAAAAGGCCAGTAAGAAAATTAAGATGTGAGCTACGTATGCTTGCAGTGTGAGTACAAGTGCAAGCCTGCTACTCAGCTGAAGTATTTTCAGATCTTGACTGACAGCATAAATGCAGAACATAACAGTAGCTGTCTCCCCTCTCGCTGTGCCTGTTCCCAAAGGTTAGTTGGCTGTAAGTGTGATTACAGTTCTCAAGGTGCCCTGTACAAGATGCTTACAGCTCATTATGCTCTCCTAGCCCCCAGGGCTGTAGTGCTGTTACACCAGGGGGGTTCCGTGGTGGCTCCCCAAACCTGCAGCTTGCTGTTTGTCCCTGGGGGGCGCTCACTGCGGAGCCTGAGGCTGCAGTGGTGTTGCATCATGGGGGGGACAGGACTCACAACATCTCTAGCAGGATGGAGCACATGGTTTCTGTGTTCCTGCATGTGATCAGTTCCACATTGGGAGGAGAAACTGCACTGCCCTGCGAGATCCTGACACGACTGAAATTTACCTGCATCATCACTATTCGTGTAAATTAGTTGCATTACCTGGCAATAGCACAAGAATTAATTGAATTGTGTTACACAGGACAAAACTGCATCTTTTATCAGAGCAGCAAACGAGGTGTTACTTCAGTTACAGCAGTGCTCAGTTAAACTGCTTCCTGGACAATGGGATTAACTAACAGAAAAAATACTTTATCCCTATGAGCACTGCAGAACCAATATTGACATAGGAGACCAAGCTGGAGTCCTTTCTGCTGCATGTGTTACCATCTAAAGTGTCTAATAAGTGCCATGTGAAGAATCTACATTTCTAGTTGGTATATGAGAGGAGGACTGAGGTTTGATTCCTCCTTTTCCTCTCCTCACTGGTTCTAGACTGATTCTGTATGCTGCTGAAGGGTATTTGCCACACTCTTGTTAGGTTCAGTAATATGAGCATAAGTCTGGAATCAGTGATGCTGGAAAATGGGGAGTTTTGGATTTTTTGACTTGTAAAAAATTTCTGAACTTTTGGGAGTATTTTTGACGTAGGTGGATATGAGCATACTTGGTGAAATGCCATTTTCAAGAGAAGAGTAAAAATATAGTAAAAGGTTGGCTTCTTACTGCTCTGGGGTAGAACTTTGCTGTTGTTCATTCTTTGGCTCTAGAGGTTTCTGTCCAAGGTGAATTGATGTGGAGGGATAGAATGTAAGAGAATAGTGCAGAGGGCAGTCTCACACCTGAGGAGCTGCAGCTGTGCTAATCACCAAAGATTAGGAACAGGCCTGCCCTTAATAGGCCACAGCTGTGTCCAATAAGGAGAAGAGTGCTGCACAGGAGTTGGAGTTAGCTGGGTGAGGAGAGAGTTGGAGTTTGTTGGCTGAGCTGTGGAGAAGGAGTCAGTGCTGTGAGGAGCTCCCCATGAGAAATCACCGAGAAGGTATGGGACTTTTGAAATATGATGACAACAAATTGAAACCTTTTTTCCTCCAAGTTCGTAGCTGGTGTGTTGTGAGCAGCACCAGGGTTACCTCAGTCTGTCATGTTTCAGCCCGCCCATTTGCTGGGCTGAGGATTTGGTGTGGCAAGTTGGTGTATTAGGGTTTAATTCTTAATTTTGTTAAAAGGTCCCAGTGAAACCTGTTGCCTCCATGTAATCCCATTGAAATCACTGGGTTTGCATGAATAGAGTGAAGTCAGACCTTGTAAATTCAAGTAGCAGTGGAGGTTTTCTGATGATACTTGTCAATAACGTTTATCAAGTAAGCATTATAAAATGCAACATCAGCTTATTTCTTGGTTTATTCCTCTGTCTCACTTGCATTTTATCATGTTCTAGAGTTCAGCATTGCTTTGATGTGTTTCAACCAAGATTTCTTTGGGGCATTTTTTGTATCTTTCCTTACATCTGTAAAGCACCCTGTGTGCCTATAGCATTACACACAAATAAAACTACCTTTGAAAATGAATGTTCAAATCCATTGGTTGCAGAGTTAGATCTGTAAATCAGCAAATACCTGATTTAGGGTTGTGCAGCTACAGTTTTGTGTTCTGAGCCACCCTGCTCAGTGATTTGCAGGAGTGGTGTGTGATCTTGTAGTTGAGAGGAGGATTAATGCAAATGGAGCTGAAGTAATAGGCTGTTCTAAACGTGGTGCTTCCGAGTTTTCAAGAGCTTTACTTTCAGCCCAAATAACCTCCTTGCAAATTAGTTTTTAATGTGGAACCTCTTGGTATTGGGAGGCTTAGCTCCTTTTGTGTGTTTGTTTGGTTTGGGTTTGATTTTGTAAAATTACACTACATGGAGGTATAAACTTCCTTTGTTGACTTTAAAAAATCCCTAAATGGGATTTGAGCCTTCAGTGGTGATTTCTAATTCGGGTAATTGCCTTATTTGATGAGGCTGTTACTGGATGAATGGGGAAAGGACCTTTGGGTCTGTGCTTTGTTAGGGGAACAACAGGTGAAGTCTGACCTGTTTCATCCTCCCTTTTGCTCTGTGTCCTGCCTCTCTCTGCTTTTTAGCCTCAGCAGCCTGCCATGCTCACAGCACACCTGCCTCTGTTC